CGTAAATTTTGAGTGCTTCTATTGGTTGAAATATACGTGGTATTTTATATCTTTAATAATTATTACATGAATGTATGATGCACATAATTAAACTGTTATTGTTATGCACGTTAATTGCATTTTATGACATAATGTAAGGTTATTTATGATTTTAACTCTTTGTAATTATTTTTCATTGAAATTTTATTTAATTTTTTATTTTAATACTATACTAAGAATCCTTAACAGGACTTTGATATAAAATGTGGTATTACAGTACAAGACTAAACTGTTGGTCTCTAAATATTTTTATAAATTATTTTAAACAGAAAGCAGTGGCAGATAAATTACTTTGTAATTAGGATGAGTTGAAAAATCTTTATGATAAAAATCATCATGTGAGCTGTGCCCCAATATCACAAAGCTTTTATATTATACTTATTTTGTATTTGTATTACTATGTCAAGATATATAATAATCACATCTAATAGTCCACAATAATAAAATATATTAATATATAAATAATAACATAAATACATAAAATAACCTATTTTGAAATCATGTATTATAAATTCTAAACATTCAGAAATTATGAAAAATATAAAATTTTAAAATTTGTTAAAATAAGATATCTGATACTTTGCTTTTAATTTAATTTTTACTTAAAATTATGTTTCTAATCTAATTAATTTAACAAGCCAGTAATACGATACTCAAACATGATTTTGCATGTTTATACATTTTTTTTTTAAATAATAAGCACTATTTTTGTATCTAGCTTTTCTGAAAGGTGTAATTTCATTTTATTCATAAACATAACTTTATAATTTTTTACGAATACATTTATTATGTATCATTTTTTCCACTTAACATAGCATATAGTTAAGATATCATAATGACTCAAATAAGTATTAACTTATTGGTTCATTCTTTTTTGTAGGTATTGAGTAAATTCTATACTAGTGCCTTTTTAAAAAATATCGTTAATAAATATTTCTGACATGGTAAAAATAATTCAGATTATTTAATCTTTTATATAACTCTTTTTTTGAACAATTAATTTATAATTTTTATGAAAATAAAAAAAGAGTATAAAACAAATCAAAAAAATATTTATTAACAGACAAAACATAATATATATATATTCCTTTATAAAATTTAGAATTCTAGACGAGTTCCATGGACTATTTGACTTTTCAATGCTACCTTGCTTTAAAAGATTTTTTAATTGTTTATCAACTTCCTCGTTATGACACATAGGGTATCAATTGTTTTATATTAATTGGATGAGCATTAGGAGTAATTATTTTATGTACAATTTGATTAGTATAAGATAATTTATCATCGGATAAAATTAATATATCATTAAATTGATTGTATAGATTATTAATAGACGACTTTTCTTTGCCGTTTAAATGATTTAATTTAAGGTTTTGATTTAAAAGAGTTAATCTATTATTATTATTATTAGCATTAACATTATTACAATTGATAGTATTTACATACAGAGTGTTCAGTAAGTCAGAAAACGGGTTTCTATTGTTCTCATTGTTTGTAACAATGAGAACAATAGAAACCCGTTTCCTGACTTACTGAACACCCTGTATAATTATGAGCACGAAATCTTGTGGTAAAAAATCAAATTTAATATTATTTATAGAAATCGAAACATCTTTTTCTGATGTGTTTAAAATCGGTATGATTGCATAATTATCTTTGATTTATGTTATACAACTTCCAATAAAAACATTTTCTTAATTACTATAAGATCATATATATAGCTAGAGATATAATTCCAGTTGTATAATTAGTATGGGTCCTTTTTACTTTAATGATAGATTCTGACAAGCCTAATTTCATGAATTCATGTGACCTTACAAATTTAACACGATTAAAAATAAAATTTAACACTTTTTGAGAGATCGTAAAACAATTGTACTATAGACCACGTAAAAGAGTACGATTTAATAATACGATATCTCGGCGCCAGGATTATATTTGGAATTGCATTAAAAACAGGATGTATTAGCTATGTTTACATCTTATTGTAACACGAATTATCATGCCTATTTTGTATTTTTGTGTTGTTTTTAAAACCTATCAATGTAAAAATATCCAACTAGATAAAAAATCTTCCCTATTTCATAATCACTATTCATATTTTCACTTGAGTACTGAAGACTAAGGTCCCTTTTGCGTGGTTTTACCATTTAATATATTTATTTGTATTATTATCTGTATAATTATAATTATAACAATGAGTACACAACATGAAAATAAGTGTATTTTTTTTAATTGCGGTAAAAACATATCTTAACTTCTTATTTTATCATTTTTAGTGATCTGAACTTCGGTTAAAATTGCTTTATTTGTTTGAATATTTTTTTCTAAAATATTTGTTTTTAAAATTTTTATATTTTAAACTATATTTTATATTTTAATTTATATATTATTAAAATTTGTTTTTTTTTAATATTTCATTGTATATTTGAAAAAATAAATTACTAATTTTATACATGAAATCCTTATAATATGTGTAATTATTAATAAATATCTTTATTAGACTTGATTACTGGTAAGTTAAGAAATTAAACACCAAATAATATAAAAATCTTGACAGTGGACAAATCGGTAGCGAGAAATTGTTATGTAATAAGTTAAGATTTTCAACACTAAGAGAAAATTAAAAAAAATAAATAATAGTCAAATTTAAATCAATATTAATAAAATAAAAAACACATGTTTTATCGAATTTGTATTTAAAACGAAAAGTTTCATTTAAATCAAATAAGCAATCGCCTTTTAGTATTAACTGGTTCTTATCTTAATTTGCGCTAACGATGTTAGCCGTACATCAATAATCGTGACTATTATTTGAATATCAGCAAACTGGACAGTTATTATTAAATATTTCCGAGAGGATATATAGCGCTATCTCTACGGGTATAAATTAACAAAAAATCGGTTGCCAATTGTCTGAATGCCGTGGCCTATCTATGTGTATTTAATCTATGGTATTATATACTACTGTATCCACATAAATATTTATGAATATCCAAATATTATTCATAATGGCAAATCCATAAATTTTCCTAATTTTTTATCAGTGTTCCCAAATATTATGAAAATTACTTGTTGAATTATACAGGGTGTTCAGTAAGTCAGGAAACGGGTTTCTATTGTTCTCATTGTTTGTAACAATGAGAACAATAGAAACCCGTTTCCTGACTTACTGAACACCCTGTATAGAAATATATGTTAATAAGGGAAGAAATTAAACTAAATCAATAACCTATAGTGGGTGTTCAAAGTTAACTGCCGACCATCATATAGCTAACTTTTTAATGACATATTCTTTAGTTGTAAAATAAAATTGTATTTATTGATTTGTATTCGACATTTTTACCCAACCTTCTTGCGATAACATAGTTTTAGTATTAAACGAGACTGGAACGAACCTAAAAAAAAAGGATTTTTAATCGAAACCTTAAACTATTTTAGAACCTGAACCGGATAACACTTTTTATTTTTAGATAGCCACGAACTAGAACCTAACCGGATCCTTTAATAATAATATGCTTAAACGGTTCTTAGCTGTCGAGCATTATTTTATTCATATAATTTTTAACTAAGTTTTATTTTTTTGATAGCAAGTGAGAATAGTAAGATTTTTGGTAAGAATTAGTAAAAGTTTTATAATAGTTTGTCAAATTGAAGTTCATAAACTATTCAAGAGTTCTAAAATGTTGCGTTCACAAAATATTATTTTTCTATTTCTAAATTGAAATAATCTTATTTAAAACTTAAAAAACATAATTACTGGCAATTTTTTTTATAGGTTTCAAAATTATTATTTTATAATTTAAAGTATTATACTCTAGATTATTAAATCTAGAGAGTGGTGTGGCGCGCTGGTCACACTAGTTGACAAAACTCTAGTGTTATGCCGCGTCTACCGCCGTAGGTGAATGGTTGGGTGACTATGGGTGGTGCGCTTTTGCGGTGGCGAGAAAGCACCATGTTCCCAGGCCAGAAGGCAATGGGAAAACACTGCACATAAATTTCCCCAGGATATACCAATGGTATTGACCAACCCAATGATTATATAAAAAAAAAAAAGAGTATTATAGTCATAAATAGAAGTTGTAGTAATATTTATATTTGACATTAGATAATTGAATTCTATATCTGCTATTTTCTAAGACTTTTAAATGGACTTTAAACTCAACGATTAAAATTAAATTTTAAAAATTTGGATGGAACTTTGATGTCCGTAATCACCACGAAGTCCAGAGATCAAATTTTTTTTTTCGAATTGAAATATATTACATATGCTTTAATTTAAGATACGTATAAAAATGTCAGTATTTCCGGAACATTTTCAAAAGCTATGTGAAATAAGTTAATTTTTTGTGAAAAAGTTGCCAGTTTGAAACTCCCCCGGTGAGCAGGCAAAGGGTCAAATGTTAACAAAAATATATCAAATGATAAATAAATGTAAATACCATAGGTATTTATATAAAAAAAAGATTATTGATTTGTTCATTTTTAAGTTATGGTAGTTTCAAGAAAAAAAATTGAAAAAATGTCGAAAATTACTGATTTTTATAATTGTAATTTTATTGGAGATTTCCCCCATTTACGGGGAAAGAGGACATTTTTTTTCAATATTTGAGGGTAATGTCTTTGACTAGGTACAATTTGTGATCTTTTGACGTATTGTTCATCTAGCGAGAGCTGAGATTGAATGTTCAGTTACAAAAAAAAAATCATAGTAAAATTAATACCTTCTCAGCTTTGCTCGAAGCTAAAATAAAAATCTGATTACTATGATTTAAAAATTGTATATATCAAGTTGTCAATGAAATCACATGTGTAGATAAATAGTCATTTGATTGCTTATACAATGAAATATAATCCATTAAGTTATTTGTAACCAAACACCTGTCCTATTTATCATATTTTAATGTTTATCATTGATTTCATTCATTTCTTGTTATTACAAAAATATAAATATAAATTTAACAATACTTATGTTTTATCTTTTTAGTCTTAAATGTCGTTAAAATTTAAAGCAATGCATTTCATTTATGGTTAATGCTTAGCGATATTGATAAATTTTATATGGATATTTCTTATTTACGTAATTTTGTCTATTGTTTCAAAAGTAAACTTTAAAATTATAAACTTATTTTACAGTGTATTGACTAAAACTATGTCTCTTCTAAGTCTTACATCCGATCAAGTGAAGCAATTTTTACCACTGCACACTTGGACTCCTGTAAGTTTAATTTAGTTTTAAGCAGTTATTTAAGTATCATTGTTAAAAATATCAACGATTAAATTGTTTATATTTCTTCAAATAGTTAATTATTTTGATTTATATTTGTATAAATATTGATATCTTAAAACTTTTTTGGTAATTTAATATTAGTTTTAACTAGAATATTGATACTGTTCCAAATAATTATTTTTAGCCATTATTATACATTTTTATTTTAATGTATTATATAAATAGAAAATAAATACAAAAGCTGATCATTTTTTTCAAATCATTTTAAAAATGTAGCTTAGGATAAATGTACTTCTATGATAATTTATGTTTCAATATCTAGATAAGTTATGTATGAGTAACTCTACTTTTTCTTGTTAATGACATGAGAAGAATGCATAGGTATTTTAATTTTTTTTATGAATTATTAAGAAATAAATTGTTTAATTAATGAAATTGAAAACCCTGTAGTAACGTTTATATCCATACTCAGTGTTGGTGTTCAATTTTGAAAAAATTTAAAGAAAAAGAGAATTTAAGAATGTTAAACCTTATAAAAAAAATGTAGAAAAATTACTGTATGTAAAGTTCTTTTTGGAGGATTTGGCTATTGAAAACTCAAGATTTTATAACGACTGTTAAAAATTTTAAAAGCTAAGGGTGTTAATTATTCCCTTAAAACATTTGAGATATGAATTCTAATATCATATCTTACTGAAAGTATTTGAACGAGGAAATGATATAATTATTAAATGAGTTCAATTATAAATTGTAGAAACTTTTAGTAAAATATCCTCAACCAACTAGGAAAAACTGTTTGGATTATTACTATAATTTCATTCAAATAAGTAATTGAAATATTAACAATTTTTAATGTGTAATAATGTTAAGATGATTATAAATAAAAACTTTAAAAAAAATGTTATACATTTTATCTAAAACTAATCATTTTAAATTATTTTTATTCGTTTAAAATGTATATTGGTCTAACCTTGAGTCTATGATTGTGATATTAAGTTATGGCAAATTATTCAGAAATTTTTTTGAGAAATTAAGTGTTTATAAATTATTATTTATGTTAAAGGTTAAAAGCAAAATAAAAATCAGAAGTAAATATTTTTTTTAAATTCTATTCAAATAAACAATAGAATGGTAATAACTGCCTAAGTTATATAGTCAATATAATATCATATATACCAAATAACATACTTTTTTAATTTTTTTTTTCAAGTATCAAGTGAAATTTAACATTATCTAATGGATAGTTAGAAATCTAAATTTTTGTATCTTTTTTATATATATGCCCAAAATTCAAAATTATAAAACAAATCTTGTATCAAGCCCATTACTGTATTAATTAAAAATTACAAATACTATTTTAATTAATTGAAAACCTTCATTTATTACTAAAAATTTAATTATATTTTTTATAGGTATTTATTATACCTGGTAACAAGGCAAATAATGATGAAATATATAAAATAACAACAAATGAAAACTATTTAAGGATGTGTCAAGATATTCATAAAATGGCCATGTTAAGTCATACATTTTGTAAAGTAAAAAGATTCAAAATGTTTGAGTTGGTTGCAGTAGAATTAGAAGGAATGTGGTTAGTTAATTAAATTTTTTGTTCAATTTATTTTTACTTTCTTATTTAATAAGTTGTGTTAGGCTTTTGTTTGTTATAATAGACAAAACAAAATGCAATGATAGCTACAAGCTAAAACTCCTTTTTATTTCTTTTCGGTTTTTTGGTAGAGAGAGAAAGATCAACAATTCTTTTTTTAATTTTGTCTGCAAAATACAAGTTGTTATTTTTTTGTGATTGTTAAGCAATATAGCTCATTTGGAGCTTATTAAAATTAAATAAAAATACTGAATCAGCTTAATATTGAGACTAAATAAGTTTCTGCATTATTGAAGACTTAAAGTTATTGATTATGATATCTAACATTTTGTTATTAATAAAGTATTGACTTAAGAATGGCTAAGTCTCTCTTATATACACCTGTTATTTATATACAGAGTGTCCAACCATGATTTACTAATTTGACTTTATAAACTTATGTTAAAATTAGTAAATCATGGTAGGACACTCAATACACATGTTTATTTTGTTATGTATTTATTTTTAGTATGTTATTTTAAGTATTTTTATTTTACAGGTGTAGAGGCAGAATGCTGAGTTATAATGAATTTTTGACCAACAATACTATTGTAGCAATAATTGATACTGGATTATTAATTGAAAAATCATTAAATGTTTTATATAATCTTCCAGAAGATTTAAAGTATGATCCTTTGGTAAGTATGAAAATATAAATTATTTTAATAAATTATAACTCAAATTCTAATTCAATACTTCAATGAATTTATGGTTGTATACTTGAATAAATTTATATTAATGTAACAAATAAATAAACCTAGAGGTTTTTCTATATAATTAGTATTGTACATATACACTATTGTTCATATTAAAAAGGATTATGTGTTTTCCTGTACTAATTACTACATTATTCAAATAGTTATTAATTTAAAATGAAATAATTTTGTTATTTCAGTGTATTGCAATAAAACCAGTGAATGATATTCCTAATTCTCGCAAGTTTTATGTAAAGCCTTTACTATCTAAAAGTGTAAGTAAATTTTTTTTCTATAGTAAAGTGAAAACTCAAGAAAAACTTGTTAAGTCTTACATATCAAATATTTATATTTTGTAGTATAACTGTATTTAGTTGTTGACAACAAAATTATATTTTTTAAGAAAATAACATCTCATTAAATTGAAGTTAACTTAACCCTTTAGCAGGTGCGTGTCTATTTTTAACGTTCATAGCCGCGTGGGGTCTATCAGACCCCATTTCTAAAAAAGTATTAAAAAGTTCATTTTTTTTAATTAAAAGACATTATTTGTTACCATACGATATATAAATATGGATAAAAATTCAATAATAAAAATTAAAAAATAAATAAATTACAAAATTATGTGCATTACTAAAAATTATATTACGAAAAAAAAAAACTTAATTTTCAAAATTTCATTAAAAAATTTTGGTTTGTAAAAAAATTATTTTAACTGCAAATTCTTATTTTTAAGATGGTAAACAAAAGCTTTTACTATTACAAAATGTATTTAAATTAATTTTTCTTGTATTTCTTTGAGCTCAAACACGGCTTATATTTATTAGTTTTATATGTATTTACATTTATTTAATCATTTTTCTGAATTGAATTTTTTAGCTTCGATGCGAAGCTGAGAAGGTAATGGTTTTACTTTTTTGGTTTTTTTTTTTTTTTTTTTTGTGTCTGTTACCACTTTTTCTCAGCTCTCACCGAACGGATTTCTTTCAACGATACGTCAAAAGGTCACAAATTGTATCTAGTCGAAGACATTAGCCTCAAAAATTGAAAAAAATGCCCTCGTTCCCCGTAAATGGGGAAAACCTCCAAAAAAATTACAAATTTAAAAATCGCTAATTTTCGAAATTTTTTCAATTTTTTTTACTTAAAAGTGCCATAACTTTTTCAAAAATAAACATATCAATATAATTCTTTTTTATATAGATGTGTAATATCATTACCTTTCGTTTGGTATATCTTTTTAATAAATTTAACCCTTAACCTGCCCACAAGGGGGGATTTAAAATGACAACTTTTTCACAAAAAATTAATTTTTTTAACTTAAATTTTGAAAATGTTCCGGAAGGTCTGACACTTTTATATATATCTTAAATTAAAGCTAATGTAATATGCTTTATCATGAAAAAAAAAAATTTCGGACTTTATCTTATCTTCATGGTGAAAATGGCTACCGAATGCTATTTTTGTGTGAAAATTTTCGATTTTGTATTTTCCATTTTTAACTTTATTATGCTATAACTTTTTGAAAAATGTATGAATCATTACAATTTTTTTATGAGAAGTAGTATTTATATAGATCTTTCATTCGACATACTGTTTTTTTAAATCGGACCATTTCCCTAAATACAGGGGGGATTCAAAACATAAAAATGCATATAGAAAGTAGAACTTTTTCAACGTAACTTTTGAAAGTGTTCCGGAAGGTCTGACACTTTTATATATATCTTAAATTAAAGCTAATGTAATATACTTTATAATGGTAAAAAAAAATTTCGGACTTTATTTTATCTTCATGGTGAAAACAGACATTAAACTTAATAAAAAAAATACGATTTTTGTAAAAAAATTCTTTTTTATATTTTTAACTTTATAATGCTATAACTTCTTGAAAGATGTATGGATCAATATAATTCTTTTTTTTGTAGATGCATGATGTCTTTACCTATCATTTGGTATATTTTTTTTATAAATCTGACTTTTTACCTGCCCACAGGGGGGGATTCAAAATGACAACTTTTTCACAAAAAATTTACTTTTTCAACTTAAATTTTGAAAGTGTTCCAGAAAGTCTGACACTTTTATATATATCTTAAATTAAAGCTAATGTAATATACTTTAATATGCAGAAAAAAAATTTTGGACTTTATTTTATCTTCAAGGTGAAAATGGCTACCAAATGCTATTATTGTGTGAAAATNAAAACAGACATCAAAGTTTATAAAAAAAATACGATTTTTGTAAAAAAATTCTTTTTTATATTTTTAACTTTATAATGCTATAATTTTTTGAAAGATGTATGGATCAATATAATTTTTTTTTATAGATGCATGATGTTTTTACCTATCATTTGGTATATATTTTTTTTATATCTGACCCTTTACCTGCCCACAGGGGGGGATTTAAAATGATAACTTTTTCACAAAAAATTTACTTTTTCAACTTAAATTTTGAAAGTGTTCCGGAAAGTCTGACACTTTTATATATATCTTAAATTAAAGCTAATGTAATTTACTTTAATATGCAGAAAAAAAATTTCGGACTTTATTTGATCTTCATGGTGAAAATGGCTACCGAATGCTATTATTGTGTGAAAATTCTCGATTTTATTTTTTACATTTTTAACTTTATAATGCTATGACATATTGAATAGTGTATGGATCAATACAATTTTTTTATGAGAAATATTATTTTTTAATAATCTCTTTTTCATTCGATATACTTTATCTTAATCAGGATATTAATAATGAACTAGCAGATCATGTGGCTTTTGGAATAATTCACCAATTTTTTTAAAATTAAACACTATCTAAAGATTTGCATCGAAGCGTTTTTTTTTTTTATAGTGATTTTAATCACTGTCAGATATTATTATACTTGATCCATCTATGCCACGTCACCACTGTGCCGCGACACCCCTGTGCTGGGTATTTTTTTATTATTAATATTACAATACATTTTATTATTATTATACGAGTATATACAATTATTCTGAATCTGTTGAACATTGATTTTTCTCCTAACAATCTTTGCATACTGTTTAATATACGCGATGTATTTTTTACATGTTTAGTTCTTATTTGTTCCGTATCATCGAGTAGTGGAAATTCTCAATAGATTATTTATTTTTACAACTTAATTGCACAGTCGGTGGCAGATCCACATAATTTCAATTGCACAATATTATATCGATTATAACATTGCATTTACAATAAAACAATATTTTGAAAAAAATACAAGTTCAAAAAAAAAAATTATAACGTTACAAATCGCGTGGGGTTAAATATGACCCATTTAAATTTTGATGAATATTTTAAGTCATACATTTTTTTTTTCGAAGGTATTTATTTATGAAAATCGATTCAATATTACTATAAAAACCATCTTCTAAATTTATATCTATATACACCTTTTATGCAATATAATACATCCGTTTTTATTTATGTGGGGTATGCTAGACCCCCACGCGACTGTTTAAGGGTTAATAATGTTCTATTAAATGAATCTGTTTTTCTAATTATATTATTATATGTATTGGTCATAATTTTTTTTGTCTTCATTATTAAAATTAAGCCTATTAAAAATACATTTCATTTATTTAATGGTTTTAGTTTTTAAACTAATTTTAGGAATTATTTGTTTTTTCTTGCATTATCAATTATTGATACTTTATGAATTTTACTACAATTTTTTTTATTCAGGAATTATATAAAGGATATGTATTGGTAGAATTAAAAAATTGCAATGAAGAAATAAATAATTTATGTATTGAACCTGACCTTGACTTAGTAGAAGTTGAAAATATTCACGTATCTTCAAATATCCAAACATTTGATCCTAAGTATTAATTATTTTTGTTCTTAATTCAAAAATTATTAACTTTTATTTTATTGGTATAAAGTTTAATTAATGCTAGAATGTTAAAAGCTACAAGAGTATTTTAAGAAAAAAAACATTTCTTTCACTATTATTTTATACCACTTTTGAATTAAATTTATGGGGTTTGTAGGTAGTACGAAGCAGTAGCTTAATTCTTCTTTTTCTTTACTGGCATTACAATCCTATTAGAGTTTTTGCCACCATTATTTTGTGATAGGTAACATAACAACGTGTTTTTTCTAAGATAGAGTTGTCAGCCCTATGCTAAACCCCCAACCTGGAGGACCAGACCATACCAACCACTTAAGATCAGCGTGGGGCTATTACAATGTACATGGTCTACATTGGGCGATGGACGCGCCACTCTCCCTACACCTACACTTAGAAACTTAATTAAGAGGGATAAATTCTTATAGCAAAAATATTTATTTGGGGAAGAAACAAATAATTTTTCTTTAGAAAAATTTATAATGTATAACCTTCCAGATGATTACACTTATTAATCCACTGATATTATTTAAATTATAAAAAATAAAATATGTGGTAGTCATAAACTATTTATTTTCATATCTATATTGTATTTTCACAATAAAATTTTCAATATTCTAAAGGGTTATGAAAATTATTTTAATTTTTTTTTTTTTTTGTTAAATTTTATATTAAAATTTGTCTCAGAATAAATGAAATGTCTATCAGTAAAATATCTAAAAATAGTATGAAATGCAAGCAAAAGGAAAAACTTTATGATAATTTATTATTAAACAGGTAATCTTACAAATTTATGAATATAAATATTGAAATATGCTTATATTTTTGGATTATTCAACTTCACTTGTTTACATGTTTTAAACTTGCTAATAAAAAATAAAAATAAAAAGTAATCTATTTAAAAAAATGACAGATCAATAACAATTTTAGGACCAATACTTAAAAAAAATTATTAGAATTTAAAATATAGACTGGAGGTGAAACGTAGATGTTGCTATTTTTATCATTAGCCATTTATTGACCACGTTTCTCCTCCCATCTAGACACAAAAATGTGATTATCTTTCAAAGTATTACTTCTAATGTTGTTATAGACCAATAATTTTCCTAATTAGATTACTTTTTATTTTATGAGCTAATTTAATAAATTTGTTGCCATTTAAAAAATAAAGTTCACATCCCTATAAGATATATGGAATAAATCTAAAAATTATATGACAACAGATAAATTAAAATACAAATGCAACTATAAAAAGTCAAAATAAATTTCTGAAATTATTTTTATTTTATAATAGTGTAGTGGATTATGATAAACAGATCACTCTGCATGTATTTAATTACAATAAATATATTTCTTTTTAAAGGCTATTAATTTAATTGATATTCTATATAATTTTTATTATTTTTAGTTTTTCTGAAGAATTTATTTGTAATCCAAAAAACAAATCTATATGTTCTACAAAAGAAAGTTATAATAAATTTCAAATTCATGCATGCTTGGATAAATCAAGTATAAATTATAAACTTATTAGATTTTATGAACTAACATGTATTTTTATTTCCTTATAATAATTGTAATTAACTTTCAAATTACCTTTGTAAATTAGGAACTAAGTACTAGGGTGTAATGATGAGTTTTTTTTAAGATCATTAAATGGTTTCTCTTAAAAATATCATAATTTTCAATGGTATAATGATCTAACGTTTACAAAAATACCTTAAAAATATTTTTATTTTCAATGTAAAGCTAAAATGGTATTAATTTTAACATGACACATTTTTATTTTTTGTCTGTTAACTTGAATACTTAGTGTCTATTAGGCTATTATTTCAGAGATGCAATGAGAAAATTTTTTTGCTGGATCTTGCAAGTTATTATTTTATAAATGTTTTAAGTCTATTTTTTTTTTTTGCTCATCAAAAATTTTTCGACTATTTTTTTATATTTTGTATAAACAAATATAATCATTTATAAATTTTACAGACTGTATCACTAAAATATTTTATGCTAAATAATGAATTCAAACAATGCTATGCATTTCATTGGGTTATAACTTAATCAACCTTGGTTGTGTCGCTACTAGCTTGCCAAATAATATGTTAAATGAACCTCAATAATAATTGATGAAAACATTATCCACACAAATTTGGAATAACTTATAGAACCAAATTTTAATTTTTCTATGTTTATTATTAATATGATATAAAATAAAAAGAAAAAATTTTTCAGTCAATTGGTTCCAAATTTATGGGGTAAATAATACATAAAAAAAAATGATATGCTAATGTTAAAAAAAAAATTGTTTAATTGGGTTAGCATGTTCTAGTTTATACTGGTATTTTTTTACTATAAATAAATAATCAATATTATCAAATGGGTTAATTTAAAATACTAGTTTAACTTGGAACAGTTAGATATAAATTATTGTTTTAGTCGTATCAATTTACAGCATTAATAAAAAATTATAACACGTTGATGGACAAAATCATATATTACTGTTATGACAGTAATATTAAAATTTGATGTCTGGGGTCACTTTTAAATATTACTGCTATAACAGTGGTATAAAAACTATTCTAAAAATGTCATTACTAATATAGCAGTAATATTTTCAATGATTTTTTATGAAGGAGGAAGTTGTTCTGATCCCATGCATCTCATAAAACCAGTGGGCACTCTTTTTAGCTAAACCATGTCATTAACTGTCCATCAACCTGTTAATAAAATTTTTAAAAAAGTATTGTTAAAAACACAGAATATTTGTTCACTAAAAATAAGTAAAGAAATCTTTAAAAGAATTAACATTTAATAAAGTTGGTACATTTGACAGTAAATAAAATAAGTTTTTCAAACTTTGAACAAAAAACTTTTGCAAACAAAAAATCGCAATCATTTAAGACTCTGAAAAATGTATCACACATCATTGCACATTTTATTAATAGTTGGGCAATGTTTCAAAATGAAGTCTTTAATGCTTAAGAAGATATTTTCATTTTAAATTGAAATAATATCTAATATTCGTTACAAAATTAAAATATCATTTAATGAAAAATATCCTATTAAAATTTAAAATTAACTAGAGCATTTTATTATAGATTTGAAAGAATATATGAACTTTGTGTTTTCCAACGTTTTACAAGAAGTAATAACTTTGCAATATAAAATATTTTACCAATTATTTATTTTCTTACTTTTTTAGGTACTTCAGATAAAAAAAGGAAATACCTTTCAAGACATACATGATTTTGGTGCTAACTTACTTAAACACCTAACTATTAATATACCTTTTAAAATGGTAAATAATTATTGTATTATTTAGTCTTTTAATTAATTATATATATTTATGTGAGAATATAAAAAAAATAAATAACTTAAGATATTCTATAAAATTTATGAAAATAGTTTTAATTTAAAAGTTTTTAAAAATATGTTGTTAAATAATAACAATTTAATAAAAAAATATTTCTAATAACCTTTGAAATTAATTTTATATTAAATGAAAGTAGTTTTATTAAATAATATTAATATATTTTAATTTTTTTAATATAAAATTATCAAATTTGTAAGTCTAAAAAAATTTAAAGATAATGAAAATAATTAAGAGACTTACTTTTATTTAATAATAAGTTTACTTACATAAACTAAATCTTCAATTAGTAATAATTCTACAAAATATTTTGTTATTTTTTTTGTAGGATCATAATTATTTAACTTTTGTTAAGCCAGTTAATGAAAATATTAAGTATAAACCTGAGAAAATAAAAACAATATTAATAAATTTTTCTTCAGATATTCTCAAATTACCTGTTAATGGAAACCAAAATTTGAATAAAATTAACAATGAAATAAGTAAGCTTTGTAAAAGATTTTTTGATTAAATTTTTTTTTTTTTTTAATTGTATTTTTTTTTTTAAATTCTTAGCATCTAGGGATCAACAAAATGTTTTTAATATTCCAAGTAAATCAGTTGTTGAATTTTGTTATGGTTCAAATGTTGATTTTGTTTATGTCAACTTTGTAGAACAAAAAAAAAAATTTGAAGACTATATGAACAATTTTTTTGCTTTTTATAATAATAGTATGTAAAATAAGATGAATTAAATTTATCATAACCTACTCATTTACTTAGAGACTAAATATAATTTAAACATTTTTTTTTATAACTAAATTAAATTAATTTTAATTAAAACCCTTTTTGAGCTTGAAAGTAGTGCTATAAAAGTTATTTCTGTTTATTTTAATACTCCAGTCATGATACTTGGATTAAAGATCAATGAGATTGGTTTGCAAATATCTGAAGCTATTTGAGAATTTTTCATGAATAGAAAGAATAGTTCTATCATCTACATATTTTGCTACAGTTGTATTAGGGTGAGTTGGTTAGTCAGCTGTTAATATGTTAAATAATTAAGGAGTAGATAAAGCACCTGGGGGTAACACTACCTTTGTATCAGATTTCGTTAAAAGAGTTGTGCTGTAGTGTATTGTTAAGTAGTGTTCTGTGAGGTAAGATTTATAAATAGATTGTTTGAAGGTGGTTAGAGAAGTTTTAATTTAAAAAGAACATTAAGCCGTACTCAATTGTAAGCTTGAGCAACATCCAAAAAGATGGTAAAGCAGTACTGTTTTTTTTTCCAGTAAAGTGGTAATAAAGACGGTTAACCAATTAATTTGTTTAATATTTGAGTTCCTGCTTTGGAAACCTAAGTAGGGTATAGTATTTTTTTGAGTTGTTATGGAATCACTATCCTAATTTTTCAAATACTTTAAAGAAAAGAAGGTAGGAGGCTAATAGATCTGTAGAAAGAGAGAATTTCCAGAGCTTTGCCAAATTTAAGTATTATTATTATTACTGCTGATTTCCATTGTAATAGAAAGTTTAATAGATTATTGAAAATATATGTTAGAAGTATGAAACTGGAGACTTTTTTTTAATAGGGAAGTAGATATGCAATTTATAGTTTCAACTGAAATAATTAATTTGAGCGGAGGGAGTCATTTGGAACATAGAAATTAGATAGTTTTTTTTTTTTGAGTATTAAATATGTGGTTTCATGTGATTTGAATACTTCAGCAAAGTGTTTTTGAAATATTTTTACGTTTTCTTGGTTAGTCATTACCAAGAACCATCTATTTTCTTAAGCTGGAGAAAAGAATTTGCCTTAGAGGACCTGTTTAAAAGGTTTCCATAATGAACCATTTTGAGTGGAAAGAAGTACTATATATTTTGAATAAGATTAATTTCTAAAATTTGTTGATCTTTTTTTAAGATGTATAGTAATGGTGTTATGTCCTTTTTGTCAGAAGGGGGAGTGAATAGACTGCTAATGATTTCTAGCTTGTCTTTTTTGAGTTATTGAGTTATTTGAGTTATGGAATGTAAAATGTCAGATTAATGAGAAGCGAAGTTTTATTATTACTATAAGGAGTAGCAGCTTTTGCTTAGATTACTAAGAAAATTCTATGTGAACTACATAATATAAGACTTATATTCTGTAGTTCACATAGGATTTTCTATCACCCTTTTGTGTTTGGAAACTATCTTGCACATCATAGAATCTTATAATATATCATGCTAGTATTAACTTGTTTAGTATATTAAAAACCTTAAAGTATACTCATTTATTAGTTTTTATTTTACAGATGATAATAAAATGAATAAATATAATCCTGAGAGAGGTGATTTGGTTGCTGCATTTTTACCACTTTACAAAGAAGTTCATAGAGCTTTAATACTTAATAGAAATACTACAAATTCCAAATTATATCTTTGTTATTTTGTTGACATTGGCTGTAAACATTATATTTATTCTAAATTTATTTATGAACTATCAGAAGATGCAAAGCAAGTTAGTTCAATATAAATAAGGCATTTAGAAACCAAGCCCATTAACTTCACTTTTTTTATTAATAGCAATAATAGTATGATTGTATTCAAAAAGTGAATACTTTTGAAATAAATCAATTTTTCAGCTCGCTTTCTTGTATTCAATGTATTATAAATATATTACACTTAAGTAAAATTTAAATGCGATATAAAATATTAATTATTAAATTTAAATTGAATTAAATCTTATAATTAAAACTTATTAATACACAATATAACCTAATTTTATTGAAATAATTATTACTATGAGATTAAATATTAATGTTACATTTTAGATTCCCTATTTAGCACACAGAGTAGGACTTAAAGGAATGAAAACTCTTAACAATACTTCAAAATTAAATTATTTAAAAATTTATTTTAAAAAATTGTATCGAAAACATTTAAATATGGTTTGTAATAAATATTCATGTGTATTTAACTGTACAATATAATTACATTTCTGTGTAGTATTATGATGAAAATGATAAAGATGGATTAAATAAAGTTGTCTTGATGAAATGTGATAATGATGTGGATATTTGTCAAGAAATAAATAATTTTTTGGATGATTCCAATTATTTAAAGAATAAAGTTTCAAGTATGAACCTTAAAAGTATTTTTATGCTATTAGTTCTGTAAATACTATGATATAACTTATTCTAGAAGTTCAAAAAAAAAATTCTAATACAACATCTTACAGATCAATGTTAAAATGTAGTTCAATGGTTGTAATAGCTCATTTTGAATCAATAAAAAAACTTTATGTTAGGATATTATCAGATGAAAGTATAAATAGTTTCAACAATTTAATGAAAAAAATGGAAGATTACTTTTGTAATATAAAAGGTAAAATTTTATTTCAAAAATAAAAAATGTATTACTTGTAATCAAAAAATGTTTTAACTATTATTTTTTTACTTAAGTCCATCAATACTATTATCAAAATTGTTCCTTTTTTTAAAAAAAAAGTTATTTATAAGTAATTTTATGTAGACAATTTTTTTTTTAATTAATTCAAATTCATAAGCCATAGTTACTTTTAGGTGTGAATGTTAGAAGAAATCCAAAGGTTGGAGAGAAACTAGGTGTCAGATCATCAATGAATATTATTTTACGGGGAATTATTTGTCAAAAAGTTAATGAAAATTGTTTTTTGGTATTTTATATGGATTTTGGTAGCATTGAATATATAGAAGGAAAAAATTTGTTTGAATTACCTTATGAGCTAAGATGTGTAAGAATAATATGTACAATATTAAGATAGCAACAAATTTTTTCAACTTAAAAATATCACTTAGCGCTTCCTATATATCTATATCATTACCAATTACCTAAATTATTGTTCTGGTTTAAGCTAAAATTACAATATTTTGATGAAAGCAATTTTTAGAATTTGTAAAAATTTAATTCACTCACCCCATAAACTAAACATTTCTTTTTTTTACTGTTTTTTTATTGGTATATATTTTTATCAAAATATATTTTGCTAAATGATATTCAATTATTAAGTATGATTATAAATAAAAAAATATTTATTGTTAATATTATTTTTTAATGTTTAAAATAAATTGTGAATAGATGTCAATATAATTTTTACTGTTATAGATACCTCAGACAGTTATTAAAATTGGTATAAACTTGACAACACCAGTTGTAGCTTTACCTGAACAAATTACTAATTATTTCAACATGCTAATTTCATCATCAACCCCTTTATTTGTGGTGAGTTAATATCTAAAATTGATAAAACAATTTTGTTATGTTGAGATATTTTATAATGGTATTATCTTAGATTTTTTGAGTTAGTCAATCATTATTTTTATTTCGAATTTTAAACCCAGATTTGATTTTATTTCATTCATTAAAAATATCATATTATTATATTTTTTCAGTTTTAATATAAGTAATTTATTTTAATTTTAATGTTAACTAGGTATTTGTTGATGAAAATGATCCTCGTGGATATAAAAATGTACTATTAACAAAAGATGGTATTGATTTATGTCAAGACATTAATTACTATTGTTCAAGTATTTAAGTATAAATATATATATATATATATTAAAGAAAGTATTCAGTTATATTTTTCATGCAAATTTTATAATTTATCATGTTGTAAAATAGAAAGTTTTTTTTTTATTCAGTTATAAGGTTTCTTTTTTTTTATTTATAATTAAATTTTTATATATTTTTATTTTTACATAATTTTCTTGTGTTTAACTAATAAATCTTGAAAAACTAATAACAAATTTATTAAAAATTAATTAAAGAAAATTAAATTAAATTGGTTAAATAAAATAATAATTATGTACACAATGAATAAAATTTATTTCCATAAAATATCTTTAATTATTATATTTATTAATAAAAATAATTTAAATTTTCCTATTTCCAATCCTTCATATTAAAAGTGTAAGATATTTTTAGAAATATAAAGGTGAATACACGTTTAAGAACCCCGCAGATATTATCACGCCATAAAGAGGCAGGCAGATCGTAGTGTAATACTCTGAGACAATCTGTCTTGTTATCAAACATAGCGGCTTGAGAATGATAAGAGTATCAACTGCACGTGGTATGAGTATGAAAACATTGACTGTTGTTTAATACATATTATTTTCTTAAATAAAAAAAAGGATTTTTACTTATTATTTTAACTATATAATTAAACTGAATTTCAACCACATTAAATAGTGTAATATTTTAATACTTGTATGAAAACATAATATGGGGTTAACTAAACAATACTTACGTTATGCTCCTTTAAAAAACTTCAATATTATATGTCATCCTGAGTGTAATATCGTTTTTGTTACATTCAATAACATTAATGATAGATATGTAGCAGTCGGAGCCAGTGAAAATATAAATATTTGGGATTTACGTTTGTCAAAATTGGTGTGTATTTTGAATATCTTAACATTTTGATATTAACTTTTAAAACATCATTATAGGTTATGACAATTGAAGATGAAGATATGAGAAATAATACATCTAAGAAAGTAAACGTTGTTAAATTAGCTGTTGTTGCTGGTGGAAAACAAATTGCTGCTGGTTATTCTGATGGTATAGTAAAAACATTTGATTTAAATAATGGCGAACTTATAAGCACATTTCAAGGACATCGATCAGCAATTACAGCATTAAATTATGATGCAAATGGCCATTTACTTGCTTCAGGTTCAAAAGTAATGTATTAATTTGTATATAAGTTATTTTATACTAATTAAACAATTTAACTATAGGATACTGAGGCTGTTGTTTGGGATATAGTAGCTGAGCGTGGTTTACATAGATTATGTGGTCACAAAGGTGTTATTACAGATGTACAATTTATGAATAAATATGAAATAGTTTTAACATCATCTAAGGACACCTATATTAAATTTTGGGATTTAACTACTGGATATTGTTTTAAAACATTAGCAGGTCATATTACCGAGGTAATTTTTAACATGTTACAAAATTCATTAGAGTAGGGAGCTCTAACCCAATTTTGAATTCTTTTGGGTATTATAAATTTCTAATTAAATATTAAATAAAAATATTATTATTTATTTAACAACAAGGAAGGTCATACTGGGTAGAGTAAAAAAACAATTTCTCCATTTTTATTTTAAATATTTTTTAGCTTTGATGCTAAGAAGGTATTAATTTTACCATGATGTTTTTTTTTTTTTGGTCTATTGCCACTTTTTTCAGCTATCACTGAGCCAATTTTGATGAATAATATGTCAAAAGATCACAATCGTATCTAGTTAAACACATTACCCTAAAAAATCTCTCGTTCCCCGTAAATGGGGGATATCTCCAAAAAAATTACAATATTTAAAATACGTAAATTTTGTCATTTTTTTCAAATTTTTGTTTTAAATAAATTATATATATATATCTTTTATCTGACATACGTTTTTTTTTTTTGTAATTTGGACCATTACCCTTTTGTACAAGGGGGTGTTTTAATTTTTAAAAATACGAGTAAGAAGTAGAACTTTTGAAAATGTTCCGGAAATACTCTGAGCTTCAAATATATATATGTCAAATTAAAAATAATTTTATGTACTATAAGTTCAAAAAAAAAAATTTGTCCCGACATCTTTTTTCCTGTGTGCAAATTCCCGTAGAATTTAACAAAAAATGTAATTTTTATGCAAAAATCACCGTATAACATAAAATATATTAATACTTAAAACTGCCGTAACTTTTTGAAAAATGAACAAATTAAAATTATTTTTTTTTATATTAATACCTTAGATATTTTTTTTTCATTTGATATAATTTTTTTGAAAATCTAACTATACCTGCCCACAGGAGGAATTCAAAAAACAAATTTTTTGCACACAAGTTAAGCTTTTTCAATGTAATTTTTGAAAATATTCTGTAAATATTGACACTTTTATTTCATTTTAAATTAAAGCTTATATGATTATTTATAATAAAGTTCATAAGACATAAGAAGTTAAACTTATTTATCCATACAAACAATCAAAATTATTAATTTCTAATATTTTTAATATATTTATTGTCGAATTAGATTTAATATGATAAAAATATTCAACTGCAAAAGTGAATAATTTAACTTTGTAATTTATTAATTTTTTAACTCTATTTGTGTATGTTACTAATAGTCTATAACATTCCAAATTTTTTGGTAACATGTTGCTATATAAATCATAAATCTAAAAAAAATGATTTTAAGTTTCACCTGAATTAAACAATCAATTTTTACAATCATAATCAAAATTTATAAATCACTAAATTAAGTAGATCTTTTTAACAACTTTTTTTCATTGGTTTTTTTAGTTAAGGTAAATCATTAAAATTAATTCAGTTCTGCATATTTCAATTATAAAATTTTTTTAATCACCAAAAGTAAATTAGAAATGATTAGCATGATTTCTATTTAAGTGATCTATTACAATAAAAATGCAAAAAAATCGAGCTTTTCTAATAAATTTACTGTAAATAGTAATTATAAAATTTCCTGAGTGCATATTAATCTTAACAATACCATTTTTTAACATCCTTATACTTTTTTCAAGTGTATGTTGTTTCTATTTAATTTGAAATTTGCAAGATGAGCTAAAAGTTATGGTAATAAATTCATTTTTTTTTTTTTTTGTATTATTATAAACTTTCACTTTAAAGGGTAAAAAAAAGTAGATTAAAAGTAATTGCTTTTAACATATTAAAAATCAAAATCAATAATAATTTGAAACACAATTAATTCTAAAAACCCAGCACAGGGGGTCGGGGCACAGTGGTGCCGTGGTATAGTTGGATCAAGTATAATGATATCTGACAGTGATTAAAATCACTATCAAAAATAAACGCTTCGATACAAATCTTTAGATAGTGTTTAATTTTAAAAAAATTGGTGTTTTATTCCAAAAGCTTCTTGATCTGATGGTTCCTTATTAATATCTCGATTAAGACAAAGTATGTCGAATGAAAAAGGGTTTATTAAAAAATATTATTTCTCATAAAAAAAATTGTGTGGATCCATACACTTTTNAAAGATGTATATAAATACTACTTCTCATGAAAAAATTGTATTGATCCATACATTCAATAAGTTATAGCATTATAAAGTTAAATATAATATAAAAAATAAAATCGAGAATTTTCACACAAAAATAGCATTCGATAGCCATTTTCACCATGATGACAAGTCCAGAAGTCAAATTTTTTTTTTCAAATTNGAAGACAAAGTCCAGAAGTCAAATTTTTTTTTTCAAATTAAAGTATATTACATTAGCTTTAATTTAAGATATATATAAAAGTGTCAGACATTCTGGAACATTTTCAAAAGTTAAGTTGAAAAAGTTAATTTTTTGTGAAAAAGTTGTCAATTTAAATCCCTCCCTGTGGGCAGAAAAAAGGTCAAATTTACCAAAAAAATATACCAAATGATAGGTAAAGACATCAAGCATCTATATAATAAATTATATTATATTATATTATATATTAAAATTATATTCATATGTTCATTTTTGAAAAAGTTACGGCAGTTTTTAGTAAAAAAAATTGAAAAAATTTCGAAAATTAGCGATTTTTAAATTTGTAATTTTTTTGGAGGTTTCCCCCATTTACGGGGAACGAGGGAATTTTTTTCAATTTTTAAGGGTAATGTCTTCGACTAGATACGATTTGTGATCTTTTGACGTATCGTTGAAAGAAATCCGTTCGGTGAGAGCTGAGAAAAAGTGGTAACAGACACAAAAAAAAAAAAAACACATCATAGTAAAACCAATACCTTCTCAGCTTCACATCGAAGCTAAAATGATAATATATAATTAAAAAATGTATTATTATATAATTATATATTATATTTTTGAATCTAAGAATTGCTAATCATATAAGTAGGAGTTCATTTTGCTTTTATAATTATCCACCAATTTCTTAGAATTAAACACTAACTATGGATTTGCATAGAAGCGTTTCTAATGATAGTGATTTTAATCACTGTCAGATTAAATCTCTACTATGCCACGTCCCTACTATCATGGGTTTTTATATAGTGCTTGTATTAAAACTAAAATTCATCAATTGTTTCAAGTGTATAAAAATATGATACTCTTTTGAAAATTTCCTTGCAAAAAAATATATATATAGAGGGTGATTTTTTTATCATAACCCACTCAATTACTTACAGAATAATAATAACTTAAAATTTTTTTTTATTACTATCTTTATTTACACATTATTCTTGAATTATTAACTATGTAATACTTTTTAAGTTCATCCCTTATGCCTGGTAAGGGTATCAACTTTGTTTTTTTAAATGGTTACACATATTTTTAATTTAATAAAATGTATGAGTTTTTAATTCAATAGTAAATGGCATTGGAATTTTTAATGAAACTTAATTTATTTATTAGATATTAACATTTAAAGTTTCAAATTTTTGAGTTAATAGGTATAATACACAAGGGATTACAAATACAGGTAGCTAATTGATTTTTTATGACATCGATATTAGCAGGTACACAACATTGTTATTATCAATGATAGTAAGGTACATTTTTGTGAGTTTATAAAAACACTAACTGACAATACAAAAAGTATATCTATTGATAGTCATAATTGATTATAAACAATCCGTGACTGTGATAGCAATATCATAAAAAAACAATTAGCTACATGTATTTGTAATCCCTTGTGTATTATACATGTATATTAACTCAAAAATTTGAAACTTTAAATGTTTATATCTAATAAATGAATGAAGTTATACTAAAAATTCAAATGCCATTTGCTATTAAATTAAAAATATGTGTTCTCATTTAAAAAAACTCTAGTTAATGTTTTTTAACCTTGAAGGGATGAATAATATCATGTTTTTACTACATATTATTGTAGTGTTTTTTGAATCAAACAATATTTTCCTTACCAAAAATTAAAAATTTTCAATAGGTACTGAGTAAACGAGTGTCTTATCCTTAATGAATCACTCTGTATATGTATATTACATAAAAATAGAAATAGAAATGAATGTTGAAGGAAGAAGAGATAGAGGAAGACCAAAAAAGAGATGAAGGGATGCTATTTAATGCGATTTGAGGATAGCTGATGTGAGCGTAAATGATGTGGGAGATCGTGTCAAATGGAAGTTTAGGATAAGGGTGGCCGACCCCAAGTTGTTGGGATTAAGGTGAGGAAGAAGAAGAAGATATATATATATATATATATATATATATTACACTTATAAATCATAAAACTTGTAATCAGAATATAAATAAGGAAATAGGGATCATGTAGCTTTTGGAATAATCCATTAATTTTTTAAAATTAAACATTATCTACAGATTTGCATCGGTGCGTTTTTTATGATAGTGATTTTTATGACTGTGATATGTTTATATCTAATAAACAAATTAAGTTTTATTAAAAATTCCAATGCCATTTACTATTGAATTAAAAACTCAAACATTTTATTAAATTAAAAATATGTGTAACCATTTAAAAAAACAAAGTTGACACCCTTACCAGGCATAAGGGATGAACTTAAAAAGTATTACATCGTTAATAATTCAAGAATAATGTGTAACTAAAGATAGTAATAAAAAAAAAATTTTAAATTATTATTATTCTGTAAGTAATTGAGTGGGTTATGATAAAAAAATCACCGTGTATATACATTTCCTTATAACACAATCTATTAGAATTTGAATTTATTGAAATGTTAGAACGTAAAAATTCTAATTTATTATGTATGATAATTTCTATCCTTACTTTTCATTTCTATGTTAATTACTACTTTACTTAACAATATTTTATGTAAGCATCTATAAATACTTTCTTGATATATTGAATAATAATAAATTATTTGCATTAAAACTATATATCACAGGAATAACAACTATGTTTAAAAAAAAGAAAATTAGTTTGATAACAATATATGATATGTGTAATATCTTATATATTTATAGGTATGGTCAATGAACATTTTACGTGACAATGATTTTATTGTTACGGGGAGTAATGACGCTGAATTACGTACTTGGAAAGTTTCAAAAACTGATGAAGATAATAAAGATATTAAAATAATGGAACTTTTATCATCAGATGGTTTGCTAGATTATGCAGTTAGTATAATCATTTTTAACTTAAGTTGGCACCTTAGCATTTCAACTCTTCCTTAATAAAATTTAATGAATATTGGTTTTTTTAATAAATCAATAATCCTAATTAAATTATTAATTAATTATAAAAGAATGAAATTTTAATATAATTCATAATTTTTTAACTATAGTCTCCAATAAAGTGTGAAAAAGTAGGATCCTTAATGCGAGAAGGTCCTGGTCGAGTAGTATCATCTTCAACTGATAGTACCAATCATATTATTTGTTGCCATGGCCATGGAAAATTATTAGAACTCTTTATTTTTACTGATAACAATGAAGCATTAGATCGATTTCGTAATAGACAAAGAAAATTCAGAAAGAAAGCTTTAAAGTGAGTTATTTGTATTAATTTGCTTGAATTAAAATGTTGTATTTTGAAAATAATGAATTTACAATTATAACTGATTAAATTTCTATAAATAAGATATTATACCATTTTTTAAATTTTTCTTGTAAATTTATTATCTATACTTCATAAAAGTAATTATACAATTTTTTTAAATCATAAGAACTAACCATGTATAAAGCCAACAATTTATATTAAAAATTAAAATGATTGTGATAATTTTAATTAGTAGTATAAATTTTTGGATAATGTAAGATACAAGAAAATTATATTTTATAAATAAATAGAATTTGAAATTTTACAATACTTACATAGTATATTATGAATCTTTATATAGACGTGAAGAAAACATTGATGATGTTGCATTTTTAAATGAAAAAAACCCTGCCCTTCAAGATACTGTGAGACGATTACCAGCTATTTTAACTGATTATAAAATAAAATCTACCAACTTAACTGTAAATGAAACTCATGTTAAGGTAATAAAAATAAACATATATATTTAGTACTTTAAAATTTATTTTTATTATATTATTATGATAGAAAATTACAACACAATTGAATTTGTCTGTTCTCTTTAAAAAAAATTGTGACTACTTATAATATATTTTGAATATTACTTATTCTTAAATTATTAGTGTTTCATTCTTTTTTATTAAAATTTTATTTTAATCAAAAGTTACTTTACAATGAAATAAAAGATAACTTGCAAAAATTATCCTTGGACATTTTTTTTTATTTCTTACAAATGACCACTATAAAAAAATTAATATGCTGATGTTCTTTAATTTTCCTTAGAAATAAGTAATTTTCTAAGAAAAATTTCAAATTATTCTACCATAATTTATTTATTTTTCTGTTGTAGTTAAATTAACTTAACATTTACTAAATATTCAAATCATTTTTAGGTTGTTATTAGTTTAGCAAACAATTCAATAGTATTATACTCAGTTCCATTAAAAGATAGCAAAGAAGTAAAGTTGATACGCCAAATTTCTTTGAATGGTCATAGATCCAATGTTAAAGTTTTGGCATTTAGTTCTGACAACTTGGCTATTTTTACTGGTGGATCTGATTCTATTAAAATGTGGAACAGAAAAACTTTAAACTGCATTCGAACTGTAAAAACTAGTAATGCTGTTCAATGCATGTGTATTGTTTCTGGTGATCGTCATGTCTTAGCTGGGCTTGATGATGGTAACTTATTAGTGATTGATATTGCAGCAGGAGATATAATTGAGCAAATTGCTGCTCATACTAAAGACACAAAATCAATTTATTTATTACCAGATGAGGTATATTGAGATTAACATGAGATATATATATATATATATATATATATTTTAATTTTTTAAATTATATTTTCTCTTAGGAAACTAAAAATTAGTTGCTTTATTATACATTTTAGAAAATAATTTTGAGGTTTTTTGATTGCCATTATAAAAATAATAATTGTACCCATTCTTCATAAAAATAATTTTATTCGTGTTGTTTTACTTCTTAAGTATTAATTTTGTAGTATTAAATTAAAATTAATTTAATTTACAGTTAGGATGTATTACTGGTGGAGGAGATAGCACCGTAAAATTATGGCAATTAGAATTAGTAAATTTGCCTAGTACAGATAGAAAAGTTTTATCATTATTACATACTAAAACACTAGAATTAGATGAAAATGTTCAGTGTGCTAAAGTTAGTCCAGATAATAAACTTATGGCTATAGCTTTATTAGACAACACAGTTAAAATATTTTTTATGGACACATTTAAGGTATTATAAAATGTTAGCATTTTAAAATTATTATGTAGTAATCTAAGATCAAACTTTTTTTCAGCATTTTATTGATCTATATGGGCATACACTTCCTGTTAGTGATTTAGATATTAGTTATGATTCTTCTATAATCATCACAGTAAGTGGCGACAAAACTATAAGGATTTGGGGATTGGATTATGGTGATTGCCATAGGCGTTTAACCACAGACTCAGCACTTACAAGCATTTCATTTGTCTCAAAAACTCATCAATTTTTCACAACTGACAAAAATGGAAATGTAAAACATTGGGATGGTGATACATTTGAACGAATTTTAACATTACAAGTAATGACCATATTTTATATATTCGTTATTATTTTATTTATTCATTGATTTATGTAACAGGGTCATAGAGGAGAAAGTTATAATTCTTCTATAAGTAGTAATGGATCATATCTTGTTAGTTGTGGACAAGACAATGTTGTTCGTTTGTTTGAAAAAACAGATGAACCATTAGTGTTGGAAGATGAACGTGAAGAGGAAAGAGCTCAAGAAGATGAAAAAGAACTAGCAACAGGGGAAGATACAAATGTATATGGTGGACCATCAGTTCTATCACTACCTACAAAAAAAACTATTACATCAGAAAAAGCTGTATGTTGTTTTAAATTTTTTTTATTAAAATCTATAATTACCACCAAATTCTTTGTAGGCAGAACTACTATTAGAGTGTTTAAATGTAATAAAAGAATACAAAGATACACGTGCAGAAAACCAATCAAAAGGTGTGGCTTTACCTTCCTTACCTTTAATAATGACAGCATTTAATGTTAAAACAACAGATGAATACTTACTAGAAATAATTAGAAGAATACGCTCCAGGTAAAATTGTATGATATAATATAGTAATAATATATCTAATAATATTTTTTTTAACTTACAACATAAACAATTGTTTTAAAATATAGATAATTTTAAGTAGGAATTAAAATCTCATGTTAAAAATGTTTATTTTATTTATTACAATAAAATGATATGTATTATTATATAATTTTAATATTTGATGTACTATAAAATTATATTATTTTTACTACTTTAAATAATTCACTTGTGTACTTATCTTTCTTTTTCCAGTGAACTCGAAGAAGTATTACTATTAATTCCTTTTTCAAGTGTTTGTTACTTTATGGAGTCACTAATTCCATTACTGAACAACATGCATCATGAAATTGAACCTGTTATCCGATCTCTTATATTCATAGTACAGACTTTACATAAACCATTAACATCTGCAAAAGATATGTTGCCTATTTTAAGACAATTGAATTCACTTGCTTTTAAAAGAACAAATGATTTTCGAGTAATTATCCCATACTTATATTTTTGCAATTTTATAATTAATTTTATTTTTATGTTTTTTAGGACCTTATTGGTGAAAATTTACATTCGTTAATGATTATAAATAATACTCAAGAAGAAGAAGAACTTGTATTTAATATTACACAAAATTTAAACAAAAAGAGAAAACGTCAAAAACAAAAATTATTAAAATCTGTAGTTGTTAGTATTTAATAAATATAAATATATGATATGTTTTGTATTTCTGTAACAATTGTGTGGTTAAACATTCTTTATATTATGTTTCAAAGATTTATTATATTAGATTTAAATATTTATACAATGGATATGATTACTGATGTTATATATTCAACATCATCATTTATAATTTTCTAAAGATTTGAATACAATTATTCAAAATCACACAAAAAATAAATATCTCATAATTATTTTAATTTATAAAAAAAGTTATATAGTTTATAATAATTAAAATAATTTTATTTAAAAGATTCTTAGATAATTTTATTTGCAATATATATAAATTTATATATTTAAAAAAATTATAAATCAACATCTCTAAAAATATTAAAAACATTTCTTATTTTTCTTTAAAGATAATTTATATAAATATTTAATTTCTGTTTATCATATTAATATAAACCAAGACATTTTTTTTACACAATTTTCTAGGTAGAAACAATTAGTGTTCAATTAAAGAAATGGATAAAAAAAGAAACAATGTATTTCTCTAAAACACATTAATTGTTGTTTGTTATAAAAATTATTCCAAAACATCATATTATAAATTAGTTTTTATTGAGTTAAATCATGAACTAATACCCTTAAAATACAAATACAAATATGCGTTTATCTATATTTTACAATTTAAGAATATAATATAAATCAATTATGCGACACGTGCTCATAAAGATTTTAAAAATCTTCTTTAATTGTTAAACATATTTTTTTAATGGTGATAAGGTATACGTCTTATCATACTTATTGGACCATGTGCGTCAAGAAATACTGATTACACAAATACAATTACTAATGAATATTATTTAGAAACGTCTTTTGTAAAATAAGTTAATAAATGAAAAATTAAAATTCTTAATTGTCGAATTGTTGGAAATGAATTCAATTAGAGAATGTATATCGTTACAATTTGGTAACTATTCCAATTTTATTGGAACTCATTTCTGGAATCTTCAGGTATAATTTTACTGTTTATTTTATTAAATTAAAGTAAATAATAATTATTTATTTATTTAAAAAAATTTAATTTTTCCTTTTTTTAATAGGAAGCTAGTTTTAGCTATGATTTAAATAATCAAAAGCCGTTAGAAATTTGTCATGATATCTTGTTTAGAGAAGGATTAAATCTCAAGGTAAAATTAAGTGTATTTTATATTAAAAGAAACCAGACTTATAAAATTAAGTAAAGAATATAAATGTAAAATAGTGCTTCTTTGCACTACATAACACTATATTACATATTATTGTCTACTTATTTTTTTTTCAGCACTTTTTTATGTGCAAAGTTTCCCTATTTTACAATTCTTAAAATGTAATTTATAAACTATCTTTTAATTTAAAATGTATTATAAAATCATATTAACATTCTATTAATATAACTAAAAATGTATTACATTTCTATAATGTCACTTTTAAATGCTGTTTTATAGGAAAAAAACTCATCTTATTATACTGGAAATTAAATTTTAGTAGTTCTTTACTTTACATAAATATGCTTTTTATTTCTTATAGTTGACAAAAATTACTTAATAAAAATGAATTGTTAATAAAAAATAATTTTTTTTTTTAATCTTATGTTTATTTAGGGCGATGTGACTTACACACCTCGCTTATTATGTGTCGATCTTAAAGATAGCTTTTATCAATTGCAAGATATACATAAAGGTTTATATGATATTGATAGTAACACTGTTTGTAATGAAGATTTATGTACTAAAGAAATAGCAACTATAAAAAATGAACCAATTATTCCAAATGAATTTTTAACAGATTTAGCCGAAGAAGAAAAATGTACAAAAGGTGATTTATAGTAATATTATATTATAATACAGTAGAAACTCAGTAAATATCATTATTGTGACTGGAACTATGTCAATTACATGAATAGTTGATCAACAAAAATTTTGCAATAAACAAATATTTACAGATTTTTAATTCCGAAATGAAATTTTTTTAGTTATGATTAAGGTTAATGATAAGTTGTATAAATATTCTATATTATGTTAGATGATTGTAAAGAATAATAAAAAGTGAAAGTTGATTGAGTACTTTACATAAATTTAGTAATAATAATATAGAGAGAAAAGGAGTCGCATCCCTCAATTGTTGACATAGTTTATTACTAATTAAAATTTTTAAAACACATACTATACAGACAGAATTTTAATCAATGTAATTTCTAACAAATCGAGTTTAATGAGATACTAAAACAATATTTACGTTTTGTTCCAAAATAATATAAAAATATCTTTCTAAAATACAAAAATCATTAAAAAATAATTGTTTTTTTTTTTGACTTGTTACAATATTAAATACAACAACAATAGTTAAAATTATTGGGTTTATTGAAAAAATATTATTTTTAATAGAGAAACACTTTCAATCTCTAATTAAAAACAAATACTTAATTAATTTCTAACATCATTAGAAAATTATTAAAATTTTATTCCATCAGTTTTAAACTATAATTTTGAACTTTTCTAATAAAACATGCTTACTAACCTTTATATAAAATTGTTGAATTTGTTTTATTACTGTAAATTTTAGATGAAAATGATAAAAAAATAAATACAAGCAAAAAATTTTATAATTTGGATACCATAGTTAAAGTTTGGTCAGATTATTTGAAAGTTCGATTTCATCCTAGAACAATAACTGGTCTTACTCAGTACAAACACAATGATTCAATCAACACCTTTGATAATTTTGCACAAGGACTTGCCCTATGGGATTTGTATGACATGAAAGAAACATGGGTTAATAATTTAAGATTATTTGCAGAAGAGTGTGATTATTTACAGGTTTTGTGAAAATTTTATTGTTTCTTTTGATGGAAAATAAACAGATGATTTCTTTCTTCTAATATTTTTACTATATATTGTTTAGGGATTTCAAGTAACGATGGATTCTTTGAATGGTTTTGGAGGTCTAGCTAGTAAAGCACTTGAATATTTGAATGAAGAATACTCAAACAAATGTGTTATTTCTATGCCTGTTATGTCTAGCAATCAAATAGACAATAAAAAAAATCCAGATTTGTATGCAGTAAATTCATCATTATTATTCTCATCATTAATTGAATCTTCAAATATTTTCATTCCATTAAGTACTTCATATGATGGATGGGCTCGTGGTACAAATCATCTAAATTTAGAATATAATTGTTATAAAGTATGTATCACTTTACATTATTATTTACCTAGTATTTTTTGTTTTAAAATATTGTTAAAAAAATTTTTTCAGAATGAATTGGATTATCACACTAGTGCAATTTTGGCATCAGCTATTGATACATTTACACTAGGTTATAGAAATCGCTTTGATTGTAATTCTATGAAAAACTTATCCACAAAATTATCTCCTATTGGAAGGAAAGCAATATCTGCTTCTATACAAATGCCACTTGGTTTTAATTATAAATCCAATTTGTTGGATTACTTACAAGATATAAAAGTACCTTTGTGGAAACCAGTTTCTCCAAATTGTTCAACAGATATGTCTGTAGCCCAGTTGATGGTTTTAAGAGGAATAAATAAGCATTTACTTTATTCTAGGTAAAGTATATCTTATAGATTTACATAATTTCAATCAAAATTGAATTGACTAATTTTTTAATTTATAACTGTTCACCAGAGCTAAGCTAGAATTTAACTTAAAAATCTAAATACTTTTCAATTAAAAAATTTAATTAGTTTTTCTTATTTTTATTTAGAGTAATACAAAATGATTTTTTAACTTTTTATTGTGAAACAATATAATTTTTTTTTTCAGAAGTTAGTAGTATTCTATATATTCGATTTAACTACTATTGTTTATATTATATTGTTAATTTTTACCCATTGTGATTCTAATTATTATTCTAAGTGTAGTTACTTTGTATTGACTGAAAATTACCCATGAAAAATTTTAGTATTAATGAATAGTGTATTTCTAATTAAATTTTTCAAAGATAACAAAAAAAATTTTTATTCTGTATTAGTAAACTACATTTGTGTAGACTTTATTACTGTAGGCAAAATTATATTATTTAAAAAACATTATTTTTATTCAATATTTTGAAGATACCAGTTTTTACTTATTTAAGAAACAATATATAAAATTATTAGAACAATTTTAATAATAAATTTATAGGCTATTAATTAAATTATGTTATATTAGATTAATATTGATTTAAATAAAAATGTCTCAACTCTCTTCTAGTTATACTTTTAACATTGTTTTGAGTATTATTTTGTTTAACAGTGTATTCACAATATAAAAACTACATGATCGTACAAATGCATATCAGTGCTGACTTTTGACCTTTCAGCGATTTATGCAAGAGTTTTTTTGGCGTCTCATAAGTAATATGTTTAAACAAACTGTTTTAACTCATGAAAATATTGCATTTTCCCTGTTGGGGCACTCTTAAGATTTAGTCGTCTTGTGCTGTTGCACACATTGATCATATCTAAAGCTGGCACTGATGAACAGTCTTGCATCCCCATTTAAATATTTTTTGTGCTTACAATATTTTTATTTATAAAAATATCTAAAAATTTTAGTAATTTAGTAAGAGAGTCAAAAAATCCTTCTCATCATTGCAATTCAGCTAGTGAAATGCTGAAGTTATATTTGTCTTTTTGTGATCAAAGTGTCAGATGTACTGAAGTATTAGGATTTGAATCGCCTCTTGAAACAATTGCACCGTTTCCCAACATTTTTTCCAAACTAATTAACCAAGATGGATTTTTGACACAAATTGCTAGACCATCATCATCAGGTAAAAAAATATGTGTCCTTATAAAATGACTGTTGAGTATTAATAAACCGAATTTTATAAATACATTAAGGAGCATCTAGATGAAATGTAAAATCACTCCATATTTTCTTCAAAATGTAGGCATTTTGCTATGGTTAGTTTTGGAATCATAATGAAATCCGCTATAATCTATTCAGCCACCCTTATTTTAAAAGAAAATTGATTACCCTCAGAGACTTATTATTTAAGAATGTACTTCTGATACATTTTAAAGTTTCAATTTGTTTGTATTTTTAATTATTTTTACTTTTATTTAAAAAAAAAAAATGTTTTTTTTATATTATATAACAAAAGTCATACAAATATACAGGATGATTCATTTATCACGAATCACTTAATTAATTAAAAAATAAAAATATATTTTATTTATTTATTTATAAGAGTGTCAACTTTTTTTCAAATGGCAACATACATTATTAACTAGTTTACTTAAGAATGAAAATTACTAGCCTATTACAAATTTTACACAAGTACTTCAGAAATCATTAAAAAATCTTTACGTGGGCTGGACAAGTGCAACTAAGAAATATCTAATGATAAAAATAACAATACCCAAGTTCAATCTCCAGCTATTATAATAAAACATTAATAACTTTGAAATTCTGGCCTAAAAGTTGTAATCAATCAGTCATTTTTTTAATTAGATGAATAATCACCTTTTATGTGTAATGAATCCCTAGACGTATATATATGGTAAAATATTTTGAACGATAGAAAAATTTGTGTTTGTTGACCACGGGGCTTACATATAATAACTAAACAAAAATAGAGAGGTTATTACATTGGGATCCCTAATTTTGTTCAATTGCTTAAATGTTTGTAGAAAAAACTTAATTGATAAATTTTTTTTAATTAAAAGATAAAAAAAAATGTATTTGTATTGAATTACACTATGAATACTAAGATTAAGAGCATTCTTTTTTTTTATAGATTAATAACATGTAGGTTTGGATTTTTAATTAAATTTATAGACACTTAATTTTATGAATAATACGAGATCATAAAGCCTATAGGCTTCATAGAATAGTTTCATCATCATAAAATTAACATTTTTGAGAATATGAATTTTATTTTCCCACTACCCTGAAAAAAATTATGACTCTTAATTAAGTGTTATTAAATTGAGGTATTTTGAAAAATAACTTAATTTAATTATGATTAAAACTATTATCATCTCGACAGTAACAAACAATAAATCACACATATATATTGTAAATGAATACTATTGATGATTCGAATCGAAGTTAAAATTATATCCTTGTTTAAAGGACTATCCAACCAAAAAAATACAAATTGTGTTGGAGTAATTTTTTTTCAGATTTCCCGTTGTAGACTTATGGACAATATTAAATAGGCGCGTGACGTCACAGATCCATTTGCATGGCGACGGTCATATAATTCTTATGGGTCCGCTATCTTTAACTAAGTATAAAATAAAAAACACAAAATATGTCTTATTTTACCTAAAAAATTTTTTTAAAGAAAATAATATAATCAATTTTTTTAATACAACTTTAACTGACCTACGATCAAACTAAGTTGTAAAAATAATTAATTTAAATACACGTTATTTATGGTTCTATGTATGACTGTTTATTGACGTTTTAACGATGAACATTTTTAGAACTTAATTCTATTCAATTGTTGAGGTTTTTTCGATAAAAATTATATCAGTTGTAACTTATTTCTATATTAAATCGTATACATGGACTTTTTTGTAATTATACACCATTTACTATTCCATAATAAGAATATTGTCAAATTATCAAATTGTAAAAATTATATCATTTCATTTTTTCTATAGGTCGCTTATTATTTCATTGTAGATTATTACATTTTTCATACTCAATGTATTAAACACATTCAGAATCAGAAATAAAAACTATGCATTTATTACATGAACACTAACTTTTATTTTTGTTTCTCGATCGTCTTTAATTCTCATAATCTCTTCAAAGGTGATAGAATAATTTTCTTGTAAAACAAGCTATTAACAGGTGTATATTATACACTGTATAATAACAATAAAGTGCATGTGTAAGATTTGATATAGAAATAAGTTACAACTGATATAATTTTTATCGAAAAAACCTCAACAATTGAATAGAAATAAGTTCTAAAAATGTCTATCGTCTAAACGTGAATAAACAGTCGAACCATAAATACTGTAATCAATTATTGTTATAACTTAGGTCGATCGTAGGCCAGTGAAAGTTATATTAAAAAATAGATAATATTATTTTTTTTTAAAAGTTTTTTTGGTAAAATAAGATATACTTTGTTTTATTTTTTTATTTTATAATTAAAGATAACGCCCCATAAGAATTATATGGCCGCCGTCGTGGAAATGGAATCCGTAACGTCACACATCTATTCAATACAGCCCGTAAGTAAATAACGGAAAGTCTGAAAAACAGTTTGCTACCATCATAATGTTTGTTATTTTTTAAATGAATAAAAAAATTTGACTTTTTAGTTGGATAGTCTTTTAATTATGTTACAAAATTATGTTATAATTTATTATTATTTGTGATTGAAACTGGATGGGTATATTTAATACAACTATTGCTATGATTATAATTTTTGTGAAAGGCTTAATAACTTTCTATTTTTTATTTCTATTATTTTCTATCAGTTGTGGAAAAATGCACGGCAATTAGCGGTTTACATAATAGCAATTCAATGGGTGATATGCTGGCGAAGTTAAATCGTGATTCGAGTAAAGTTAAGGGCTCCAAATTAAGTCAAATGTTCAATTACAACATCGACATAGTTGATTTTAACGACTGTTTAGAACGTTTACTCGTCTTAAGTGATAATTATTCAACCAACGATTGTCTATAATACGCTAATTTCTTTTTCAATTGTTGTCTAAAAATAATTCTACTTACCATTATTGTAAATAATTGAATTTAATTTGCTTAATTTTAAAATTTTATATTGTTAAAGACCCTACTACATTGTTATATTTAATTATGTTATATTTTCTTGTTGCCCGTGTACCCATTGAAGATCTATCAATATCATTACAATCAAATGTATTATTAATTTTAACATTAAATAAACGCTTTTTTTTTCAAGGTGATTCACATTCATACTCAGAGTAAGTGGAATATATTGCACACTACATAGGTACTACATTTACGAACTCTATTATGTAAAAAACGTAGGAATGGTTCCACGTTAGTTAAGAGTAGTCTTTACGACGTTCAATTTATTCAGTACTCGTAGTGTAATAATTGCGATTCTTTTAACAGTGTTTAATTTTAGAATTTTTATTAAAATTAAAAAAATGCATTTATTTATTTTGTTTTTCAATCACTTTAGTTCGACTTTTAACATTTATTAAAATTAAAGTAAATTTAAGATATTAAATTCAATATAGTTGGTGTTTTACTGTAATACAGTATGGAAACTCAGAATAATTGGAAGTACATGGCATTTCTTGTTTGTGTCTTTGCAGTAATTCGAGAAATAAGACCCATCGAACCGTTCTTTACGTCATTTTTAGTAAACTCTGGTTTCACGTTGGAACAGGTATAATATTTTTTCTTATCGTGTAAAAAAAAAACTGTGTTATGACCAAAAACTTTTCGTCGCGCACGGTCTTTGGCAAATGCTAAAACAAGTCTTATTTTAACATAAATAAGTTTTATTTTTTAGACTTTGTATTGTGAGAATTTAACCGTAACTAATTTTATACTACTGTAATATTTTTATGCATATGAGACGTGTTTGAATACATATCAGAACTGACAATGTAAAAACGTTACGCGTCAACACTTAATTTTTTTAGTAAAATACTTATTTGATAACAATTATAAAGACTATTTAATTTAATTTTTTTTAATTTATCACTAATAAACGCAGGTCAATGAAAAAATCTACGCTGTAGGTACTTATTCATGTTTAGCATTGGCCCTAGTGATACTTCTGGTGACAGATTACTTTCGATACAAACCATTAATCGTAGCAGATGGAATAGCTGGAGTATTTACATATGCACTTCTACTGGGATCCCCTAGCATTGAGAGAGTGAGAGTAAGTTGATGACCGCTTAATACTTCAACGTAAATGTAAAGTTAAATAAAATATTGTACTATTGAGATATTTTATTTTAAGTTATTAAAAGTAGGTATTGTTTGAAAAAAAAATGTATTAAGCAAACATACATTTCATTCCAGTAACAAAAATAAGATTGATTTATTAATAAAAAAGATTAACGACCGAATTTTTTTTTTTTTTATAAATTATTCAAAAACTTATTAATTCTGTCCCTTTTGATACTCATTAGAGCCAAAAATATCACTAAAATTTTGTTGGTCAATCTTAACAATGAATATCCTAGGTACGTAAGATTCAATTATATTATTGAACGCGAAATGTATTAAAAATTAAAAGTTGTACATAGTATTAAACTTGGTCCAAATTTAAATGTTTATGACTTAAAACAGTCATTTTATAAAAAAATTTGACTAAAAGCTAAATTATTATTGAATTATATATATTTTTCGCTTGATAGTTTATTTTCTTGGAATTGATAGGGGGTTGATAGAAACTTAGGGTGCCAATTATTCACCTTTGCAGAGACGATATCTTTTTAATAACAAAAAATAATATCATTTCAGGTAGAGCAAATTTTTTTTGGATTTTTTTATTCGTCTGAAGTAGCATTCGCAACGTATTTGTATGCCAAGGTCAACGACAAACAGTACTATCAAAAAATTACTAGTCTTGTGAAAGCGTCCACATTATTTGGCAGATCTTTGTCAGGACTAATTGCGCAAATTATCGTGTCCATGCATATTTTAAGTTATCATCATCTACTGTACATCAGTATATTTTGTATGTGGTTGAATTGAATGTTCATAGTAAAAATATTAATTTGGTATCATTATGATAAAAAAATCACTAAAATGTTAATTGAAATCAGTTCTATAATTTTTATATTTAATAGGTACTTCATTTGTAACTATATGGGCATTATTCTTGCCGAGAGTTACAACTAGTGTTTATTTCCACAGAAATAATACTGTAGATAATGCTCCAAAAGATTTGAGAATTGCAAACGATAAAACTCCCATAAAAATATTTATTGCATCTGTAAGTCATTACATTTTTTTCCAAATCTGTACACTTTGTGAAAAATCATGCAAAATGATTAAATTCCTACTAAATATTTTTTACTATAAAGGGCAGTTCCAATAATAGCTATAAGATCCTCTAAAATATCAATAAAAATATTTTTTACGCGGCAATTCTTTTAACGTTAGCCACTCAATTTCTGTTAAAATAATGATCTTTTTCGCTTTATCAGCTCATTTAAGGCCATGTGGCCTGCCCCAAAGAAAGAGGTTTCTTAATCATTGATATTCCGGGACGGGTGTTTAGTACGTCGCCGGAGAGAGCGATGGCTATTTCAATTACCGACCGATCTCTCGTTGGGCAAATGAAGCCACTCATGACCAAGTCTCGAACCCGAGTCAGTGTACGTCAAACACTGCCGCGTTACCGACTCGACCACACCTGAATAATAATTATGTTTGGTATTGATCAGTTTCATATATTTATCGATTTATCAGTCGTTAATTATTTTAGCTTCGATGCGAAGCTGGAAGGTATTATTATTTTTTTTTTGTGTTTGTTACCACTTTCTCAGCTCTCATCGAACCGATTTCTTTCAATGATACGTCAAAAGATCACAAATCGTATCTAGTCGAAGACATTACCCTCAAAAATTGCTATAACTTTTTTAAAAATAACCAAATTAATATAATTTTTTTTTATATAGATGCATGATATCATTACCTATCATTTGGTATATTTATTTATAAATCTGACTTTTTACCTGCCTACAGGGGGGGGTTTCAAAATGACAACTTTTTCACAAAAAATTTACTTTTTCAACTTAAATTTTGAAAGTGTTCCGGAACGTCTGACACTTTTATATATATATCTTAAATTAAAGCTAATGTAATATACTTTATTATGGAAAAAAAAAATTTCGGACTTTATTTTGTCTTCACGGTGAAAATGGCTACCAAATGCTATTATTGTGTGTAAATTCTCGATTTTATTTTTTACATTTTTAACTTTATAATGCTATAACTTATTGAAAAGTGTATGGATCAATACAATTTTTTTATAAGAAATATTATTTTTTAATAATCTCTTTTTCATTCGATATACTTTATCTTAATCAGGATATTAATAAGGAACTAGCAGATCATGTGGCTTTTGGAATAATCCACCAATTTTTTTAAATTAATCACTATCTAAAGATTTGCATCGAAGCGTTTTTTTTTTTATAGTGATTTTAATCACTGTCAGATATCATTATACTTGATCCAACTATGCCACGTCACCGCTGTGCTGCGACCCCCCTGTGCTGGGTTTTTTTAATTCATATCTTATACCTTATAAAGGTGTCAACTTTGTACACAATGGAACCACAGGTCTGAGTGCAAGGGCATCATGTCCACCTCAATAATAAGTAAAGGTGTCGACTTAATTTTTTTTAATGACAACATACATATTTAACTAGCTTATAAAATAAAAAATGTGACTAATTAAGAAAATAACTAGTCGATAACAATTTTTGGATTAGTACTTCGAAAGTTATCAACATTTTTATAACTTGGTAGAGGAAGAAGTGCGTCCGAGAAATATCTAATGATAAATATTGTCTACCCCTCCTTACTTTCGGTCTATATTTTCAAATGGTATTAATTTCCGAAATAATGAATGAAATAGTTATTATTGTTTATTAATTTTCTTAATTAGATTGATTTTATATTTTATAAGTAATTTTGTAAGTAATAATTGATAAATTGAGAAATAAATGAAACTAAAAAATACCGAATACAATTATTATTCTAACACAAGTCGAGTGGCTAGCGTTAAAAGAATCACTTCGCATGTTAGTGAAATTCAATGGCCATATAAATTTGTAAACATTTGCCACAGAAAATAATAAAAATGATGATTAAATATTTTTCTATTTAATTAATTAATGGCTTCAACTATGTTTTGCATTTCTTAAATTTTTATGATTAATTTTAAATATTATTAATATTTTAACTACTTAGATTCAAAATGACGAAAAAAAAATAAAAAAAACAGCTACATTAAATGAAGTTCGAATTATGCTTTTTAATGATTTTAAGTCTGCATTTAAGAATAATTATGTTGCGAAGTTATGTTTTTGGTGGATTTTATCACTTTCAGGTTATCTTATAGTGAGTAAAACAATGGATCGGCGCACATTATTCCTAAACAATTAAATAAAATTTCAAAAATTAGGTTGCTACTTATATGCAAGTATTATGGGAAGATGTCGCCAAAGAAAATAACAGTACCCAGGATCTAATGAACGGTGCTGTAGAATCCGTCCATACGTTATGTGGCAAGTCTCATTCTTCTGTAATTAATCTTTCGATTAACTAATACAATTTTTTTATCGCTTGCACAACAGGCGCAGCTGGAGCCTATGCAGTAGGTCACGTACAATATGAGTGGAAAAAAAGAGATAACATTTTATTTGCGATTGGATCAAGTATAATGGCTTTACTGTTATATACTTTGTATTACAGTCATAAACTTTTGATTCTTTACGTGTTTTATGTTTTGTACGGCGTCAGTTATCAAATAATATTAACTGTAACCACGTATGTATACTCTTTTCAAGACTGAAAAAAACATTAATTTTACATAAGCGAACATTAAGTGATCTGCTTAAATTATAATTAAAGTTTAATTACCAGTGACCTTCAAATTTGATTATTTATATTTTTTTAGTAATTTTTTTAAAGGAGACTATACCTCATAAAAATTTCTTTTATAGGATTCATAGTTAGGTACTACATACTTTTCTTATGACAATTGTATATAAAAGTTTGAGTAAAAAAAAATTTATTTTTAAATCAGTTATTAATAGATTATTCAAAAACAATTAATAACATTAAATGAGTAAAAAATTTTCTGACTTTTTCAGGGCTGAAGTTGCTAAATGTATAAAACCCGATAGTTATGGATTAATTTTCGGATTTAATCTTTTTATGTCGCTGTTAATTATTTCAATATTTACTTTAATCTTTATTCAAGGTGTAATATTCGTGGTCGGCACAAGAAACCAGGTATTTATGTCACTAATCTTAATTATCAATACTTGAATTATTAATAAAACGTGTGTTTTATATAATTTTAGATATTAACTATAGCGTCATTACATACAATAATAGGAGTTTTATTTTTCATAATGGCTGTAAAAAAATTGTTCAAAAAGACTGAATCTTAATTAATTTGTAAAACTTACATGTGATTTCGATTAAATGTGTTATAATTAGTGATTACCTAGTTCATGAAATCTATTTTAAATAAATAAAATTCATTTTGAAAATATTTTAAGTAAATGTGTTCTGCAACACCCTCGATATGTCTGCCAATGACCAAAACCGGATGTAGTATGGAAGTCGTTAAAATTATTAAAATGAGTTTAGAAATTACCGAAATATTGTAATCATGATATCAAAGGGTGTTTAGGAGTTTAGGGGTTTAGGGGTTAATACCTCTATGATAAAATTAATGATATATTTAAGATCAATTTTGGAGTAGCTAGTAACAATTTTTCTTATGTAAAGAAAAATGAAATTTCATTTGTGCAAAATTTTATTATTTTTAAAAAATTGTATATTTCATTTTAACTTTATTGCTTATTATAAAAACTGAATTTAGTTTTAGATCAAAAAGTTTTTATATTGAATTTTAGAATTTCGAGATTTTAAGGAGAATGTTAAATTTTAAGAAACTTTTTGTAATTGGTATTTGATAATCTTAAACAGATTTACTATATTTAAAAATGTAATGCCATAGAAGTGTACAAAATTAAAATATCTTAGAAATTCACAAAATTTAAGATACCATAAAAATGCACAAAATTAAGATACCATAGAAATGCATAATTTTGAAGAAGCCATAGAAATGTACAAAATTTAAGAAGCCATAGTAATTCATGTATTTAAAGAAGCCATACAAATGCATAAATTTAAAGAAACCATAGAAAACAAAAAATAAGAAACCATAAAAATTCATTAGGGTAGTTAAAAAAACACGACTTCAGGTATTTGATCATTCATCCCCCTGGTTTTTTACTTGATATAGAAAACATATACTGTGAAAATATGGAATCGATCAAAGAACTCCTTCCCATGCCGCATTGGAATTAAAGTTTGACCAAATAGTGTTTTTTATTAGTTTTTCACATTTGTTTCAATAAATATTGTTTGGTACAGAACGTCTTTAGCAAAGATCTAGTAGACCAGTTGTTACAAACATCGTTGATTATATTATATAGTGTGGCAGCTGATCTCCAGCGTCTTGCTTTACTCACCCCTTTACCCACTCAGCACGGGAAATCGATGGCCTCCGTGTGCAATTGTCATCTGTGTACAGCTCATTGTTTTAAGTAAGTTTTTTTGTGTTTTATGTGTTGCATAACTAGCCGTACTACGGACTAGCTGTCTCGTACAAATTAAATATTACAGTTAGCGTAAAAATGTATAGAATAATTACTATTTAGTATTAAATTTCAAACAAAAAAGGTTCTAATACATTTTTTCTAAAGCCTATCATTACTGTGATAATTCAACAATATCTTTTAATTTTTATAATTGTGTAAAATTAATAGTATTATGACTATTTACCATGTACATATGCCAGATAAAAAAATAATAAACACTTAAATAGTGATTATAATTGGAGACTATAAAAATGGGAGGGGCTAAACCTCTCCTTATTAGATCTAATAATTTTTTCGCTTCAAGATCATTATGGTATTGCCCTCAATTATTTTGTAAAAGAAAAAAAAAGGTTTTAATTTTTTGTATAGTCAAATATATAATATAGTTAGATTAGTATATTTAAAATGAGGCACGCTAAACAATATGCCACGAGACTCGCAACTTAAAAAAACTATGTTAATTGAATCATAAAAGACATTTATTGTTATTAAGTACTAATTATCGATCATATCTTTATAAGAGTTATTATATATTTGCGTTATTTTTGACATTGAACGGAAAGCTGATTCGTATATATTTGTACACATTTCTGTTAATTTTTAGTTTTTATTTAATTTTTGTCGCATTAGAATATGTTACGAAGAAATATTTATTTAATCGATTCTATTTATAATCAAATAACTGGAAGTAAATTATCATCAATTAAAGACTGCCCAAGTGTGTTATTTTACAATACGAGGTTAGTAAAACTCAGTTTACATGAAAGTGCAGGATTGGTGATAGATGAATGTACAATTTTTTGTAAAAAAACGAGGATTCCAACACGGAATCGAGCTCATTATATAATAAAATCGAAAAAGATTTATGAGCCCTGAAGACGTTTAGAAATGAATAAAAATAAACCAATTTTTTTAAACAAATAAAGGAATGATCAATTTAAAGAAAATGTAGATAATTTGTTTGATATAGCTCATAAAAATGCAGCAAAACTGATAAAAATTAAAGAATACCTAGACTTTTAACAGTTACAACGGCAAAAAGGGTGACCTAGATGTATGATGGTTGTGGATCTACCAACACATATGATTGAAAAAAATCAATCGGCTCCATTAGAAAAAAATGGCAGTTTTTGAATTTGGTAAGTATTATGTAATTCTGATGTATTAAAATATATGTTTAATTTTATTAAGTAGATCAATACGCTTTTTCATCAACAAGTTCTGAAGAAATAGATCAAATTAAACAAACTGATTGTCCAGATCCTATGCCTACTTATTTATATGACAACTCAGAAAATATAACAGGTCCTTCAAAATGTAAAAAATTATGGAAAGGTAATTTTGTAAGTCTGCGACTTTGTACAGTATTAGATAAATGTTAAGTGAGTGACCGAGATGCAATGGATATTATAACAGCTTGTCTCGAAGTTGTTATAATTAAAAAAATCATTTATGTCTACCGATTCAAACATTAATGTTTTTTCCTTAGTCGATCATCAACTTGCGAGAAATCACGCTAAAATACTTATGAAACTATTAAGTCTAATTTGTTAAGTGCCGATCATGATTTTGTTGTAATTTATTGGGATTCAAAAATTTTACCTGATATAATTAGAATAGAAAACGTTGACCGACTACCACCAATTGTTGCTGTAGCACCTGAAATTGACCAACTTTTTGTTGTTCATGAACTTACTTCTTTTACGGGATTGGAAGTATCATTTACAGTATAGGACACATTACAAGAATGGATTTTATTTGATAAAATCCTAGCAATGATTGTTGATACTACAGCTTTCAATACAGATAGATTAAATGAAGCTTGTGTTTGGTTAGAACAAAAGTTAAACCGGAATCTTTTACTATTAGCATGTCGTCATCATATTTTTGAAGTAGAACTTCAAGGTGTATATTCTGAAAATAAATTAACTGTTACGTCTGGCCCAAGTATGTCCCTTTTTAAACGAATTCAATTAAATAGGCATGATATAGATAAGAGTAGTTAATCTACGTGTATAACAGATAATATGATACACTGTATTATACACATAGGCTTACAAATATATTCTAACCTAATACACCTAACTTTAAAAATCTTTAATTGCAACCTTTACCCTGTCTGCCGGCGCGATGTTCGTTAGAACAAAGACATTAAACCTTAAAAGACTAGCTACCCAATAAGTATAGGATTGCAATACACTTAGTCATATAATAAATATTTATCATTAACTGAGAAAATTAGAGTTGATTCAGTTTTATTATATATATATATAAAAAAAATAAATATGTTTTGTTTTAAAATATTAATTGACATTTATTTCCATAATAAAATAAAACATTATTATTTAATGAACAAATTAAATTAAATTAAAAGATTCACCAAAACAAAATTCACTTTAAAATCCCTAAGTGTCATATAGTTTAAAAAAAAAATATTCTAAGTCCAAATAAATTAAAAAAAACGACTAAGTCCCAGAGAGTAAGAATCTTGAGTAGAGTGTCGCAGATTTTGTGTATTTTAAAATCGCCGAAAGAACTGATTTTAATAGGAAAAAATGGGTTTTTATAGTAGACAAGGGTCGTGTAGCGATCCCTAGTGTGATCTTAGAAACTATAGATCTTAATTAATGGTTAAATGTGATTGGCTGGACCTAATTGAAAACCCACACATGGGCGTTACTTTTAATCTGTACGATGATCAGATTTAATTGACTAAATTATTGATTATTTTAAGTTTTAAATAAGGGAACCCTGTTTTGGTGATCTTGTAAATTCATAATATATGACATACATGTACAAAAGATAACATTATATAATATTTTAATATTATAAGTAATAATATAATATTACATCTGTATCTTAAATACTAAAACATCTCAAAATATAGTTATAGCTAATTAATGTAATACACAAGAAACAGGAGCCGGGCCATCTATGTCCGATATTCTTGGCCCGATCTGTTACTGTGAAGTTCTTTGCGCAAAGCGAGGGATTAATTATAACTGGCCGGTATCCTTAATCCGTCTTAAAGAAAATATTTTAGAAAGTTCACTCTCATCCTCTGGAGGCTTAGTTATTTCTATACGTTTAACCTTCAAATAAAAAAAAAAAATAAGAAATTTATGGGGTAAATAAATATTTATGAAAATAAATACTTTTTTTAATACTACACCGTTTTTTAATTCTTTTATTAAATTGTCATTTTGCATATTTCCTGGCTACATGAAATAAAAAAATGAGCTAATTTATTGGGAAATATGATACAATTTATATTATGATATCATTGAAATTAACAGGTTCATTTCTTCAAAATCAGTTATTAGATAATTATTTACAAACTCTCTTCATGTATTAAAACTAAGACAAAGAGTGTATTTAAAAAATTGATGCTTCGTACTGGATTAAAAATTTTAGCAGTGATTTGTTTAGAGAATTCATTAATTAGTAGATAAAACATTTACCTTTAATATTTTTTTACTTTTGATCTGAGCATCTTTTTGTAACCTTACATCATCACCATCCCCTTTATGCATAAAATTTAATGAAGAAGGCATTGGTGGTGGCCGAGGTATGAATGAAAAAGGTGGTGGTGGCGGCGGCGGCGGTGGTGGAATAACTACTGTAACAATTTTTTTCTTAAATAATATCTAGATTATATTAAACTAAATAAATTACTTATAATATTTATTATGGACTAATAAAAATTGATTATGTATAAATCAGACATCATAATTGATAAATAAGCTTGATGTTTTAATTAAAAAAATTATCAGTAATTGTTATGAATCAATTAAAATTTTATTTTTAATTTAGTTACAATTTAGTTACAAAGTTAGTCACAAAAATTTTATCTAAAAATAATTTTATATAAGGAACTTTCAAATTTTTGCTGACTTAAATTATATAGTCAACTATATTAATTAGTCAAAATAATGTCATAGTTTTAATAATTAAAGTTATGCTAATTATTATCTTCTTAATTATTAGTATTTAATGAATGCTTTTTTTTTCTATTTCTTAAATTTTTTGTGTAATAAACTTTCAGTATGTTATGAAATGTAATTAGGCTTTAGACCAGGAAGATTACGGTGTACCAAATATTTATTCTCCGACAAAGAAATGCATGTACTCTTTATCATCTTCAAAAAGGCATACGACAATATCCATCGCAAAAGTTTAATAAATATTCTTTATATTTAAAGTTATTTAATAAATAACTTCCTATAAAAATTAGTAAAGTTAGTCGAAACAGGCATTATGGAAACATTCATTAAAATAAGAGTAGGAGAAGCCGAAACCGACCCAATAATAGTGAAATCAGATCTAAGACAAGGGCACTCTATGTCACCTGTTCTGTTTAATCTAGTATTAGAAAAAGTTATAAGGGAAACTAATATAGGACCCCAGGAGGGGATGTCACTACGAGAGTCTTCCATGGTATTAATGGCATATGTAGACGATTTGGTCCTCGTGGATAAATAACACAATGGCCTAAGAACACTATTCGATTGTTTGGAGGAGGCAGCGAAAAAGGTTGGCTTACAAATAAACGAAGGCAAAACTGAATACATCCTGATGGGGAGACGAGAATATATCCTTCCTTAAGAGTGGGTAATCATGAATTCAATCGAGTCAAACAATTACTAATATTGACCGAAAAAAATGAAACTGAAAAAGAAGTAGCAACAAGAATCCTGTCGAGAAACAAATGTCTTTAAGAACTCACAAAGATACTAGGGTCACGGTCCCTGTTGAAAGAAATAAAGATAAAATTGTAGATTACACTATTACACCTAATAATTATATACGGGGCAGAAACATGGAGATTAAGAAAAACGGAAAACAATAAATTGATTATTCTGGAGAGGAAAATTCTAAGAAAGATCTTTAGTTGAGTAAAAAACGAGGAAACTGACGGATGAATAAGAAAAGACAAAGAATTAGAGGAACTCTTTCATCATCCAAACATATTATATATAATTTAGAGTAGAAGGTTACAGTGAGCTGGTCACGCCTGGCGTAGTCAGAATCCACTACTGCACATGGTATTGACAGAGAACCCAGAAGCAATATGGCCTCTTGGATGANCCAGAAGCAAAATGGCCTCTTGGATAACCCCGTTTAAGATGGGAAGACGTGGTTAAGAGAGACGTAGAATCGTTAAATAGAGGCTCGAATTGGAAAACAAAAGCAGCTGATAGAGAGACTTGGAGGATTGATTGTTTGACAGAATGGTCCTCGTGCCCGTTAATATCGAAGAAGAAGAATGAAAAGTAATTATAAAATATATATATATATATATTTTTACGTNTATTGAAGAAGAAGAATGAAAAGTAATTATAAAATATATATATATTTTTACATATGTGTTAATATATAGTCATAAAAGACAAAAATGTAAATAATCAGGCACATAAAAATTTTCCCTTTTTAATATTTTATTCTAGTTATAAAAAAAATCAATTATGAATACATTTTAAAATGTAAATAAAAAGCACCTTCAGTTTTTTATCAATGTTTTTAAAGCTAAAACAATACAAATAAAGTTATTTTTACAACTGTAGTTACTATTTACCTTTTGTTTCATTCTTTTGTATAAAATTATTAAAAGATTTCTTCAGCTCGATTAATTCCAATTTTAAAAACTGAAAATCATCTATAAAGTGACATTTTAATATAAATTAAGGTAATATCAACATAACTAATGATCACATAAAACAATGTTTTACCTTCAAGTTTCATCACTCTTTGCGTATTTAAATCAAATATTTTATGACCTTCTAAACACAGACAAATTATTATATGTACAAATATTGTATGTTTATTAAAAAATTTTATTTAAATATTATCAATACTAAAATACTTTTAAGGAATTACTTTTTCCTTTAGATTTTTTTATGTCTTTTTTTCCAGGATAACAAGAAACTCTATTTAATTGATCCACTTCTAATGTTAAACTACGAACTATTTCTAAACATAAAATTAAATATTGATATAAATTTATTACACATTGCCCAACTAAGAAAAACGTCAAATAATGTTTTACCTTCGAGTTTTGTCAATCGGTCAGATGTTGCATCGCCTTTTAAAAACATAAGATTAATAGTTAAAAATAAAAAAGTTTAAATTAAATATTATACTACTTACCAAGGATTGATATGTTAATACTGTTGGTTAAAATAAATTAATTGTGTGACATTAATAAATTTTAACATGCATAACCGTCACTCGATTCTTCGCGCTCTTTAAAGGTAATATAATAAGTGCTAAGAGTATCAAGTAAATAAATAATTCTTAAAAACATATTTTTTATATTGGTAAAAAATTAGCAGACTCATAAAATCATAATGAAATAAGATATACTCGTTTGTGTTTTAAAATGCCTGACATATGTTTTTACAAAAGACGACAATTATTTAAATACTAAAAAATATAAGATAATTTTGTAAATATTCTACATTGGCTGCAATATTTACTATTGTTAAGCTGGAGAATTGAGAACTTTGAAATACTTGTAATTAAAATTTAGTCTTTCCTAATTCAAAAAATAGTCGAAAATCAACTGTATTTTGTTTTCAATACATAAACATTAAAACAAAACTCGTAGCTCATACATTTATATATTTTGTACTTGTAATATTGGAAGCACTTGTATCTAAATAGGTACATTTTTATCTATTTTCAAAAGTAAGTAGTCCTTTTATTTACGGTATAATACATATTGTTTTATAATATATAAATGTCAGGACTATCAAACTCAGTTAAAAAAAAATACAAACCATTTTCCTTAGTATTTTTAATTACATCTTCCTCTGCTGGGCGGAATATTTGTATAGGTTGAGATGGGTTAATTAATTGTTTATCGAATATTCCATCCTAGAAAATTTGCTAGGTGTAATTCACATTTTACTTTTATTTTATTATTATACCGTAGAGACAATATCTAATTTTTTTCCTTCGTGGTGCTTAAGCTTCGAAAATTGTTCAGATTTTTGTGTTTCCTCTAAGTTTGGTATACTTATCTTATCTTTTTTATTTTTTTTTCCTTTTAAAAAATGCCAAATTGCGAGAAAACATCCGCACTTTTTCCCTTTGGATTTCATATTTAACAACAGCAATAAATAACAACAACAATAAATAACAATAACAATATGTTTATAAAGTAGAAAACCCTGTTTTTGTTATAATAATCAAAAAAATGTGTAACGAAAAACTAACTGTAATGAATGTTTACTATATATAAATACAATCACCCTAGTAAATAAAGAGTTATTATTTTTACGAAAATTTTAATAAATTAACACCTTAAGTAATATCCTTAATAATTAAGGATATTGTCAAAAAATTAATAATTATTGATTTAAATAAATCTCTTTTTTAAAAGCAAATTACATTTTTTCAATATTCCTTATTTACCTTAATTATAAAAGCTAAAGCCAGTTACCATCATCCAGCTGTCTTTATATTTATATATTTCATTTTTATTGTAGACAAATATCTTTATAAAATCAGAAGCTATTATTAAAAAAAAAAAATCCCAGCACAGTGGGGTCGAGGCATAGTGGAGACATTGCATAGTTGGGTCCAGTATAGATTTAATCTAATAAGAAACGCTTCGATGCAAATCTGTAGATAGTGTTTAATTCTAAATTACAAAAGCAACATCAACTTCTATTTCCTTAATTATACCCAGATTAGTAATTCTTTTAATTATATATTATATCATTTTTAAAATTAATTGTTTTCAAATTATTATTGATTTTGATTTTTAATATGTTAAAAGTAATCATTTTGAACCTACTTCTTTTTGTTCTTTAAAGTGAAAGTTTTAATAAAAAAAAAAATGAATTTATTACCATAACAAGTAGCTCAATTTGCAAGTTTGAAATTGACATTATTAAATAGATAAAAATGAAATTGTTAAGATTAATATGCTGTCAGCAAATTTTATAATTACTATTTACAGTATATTTATCAGAAAAGTTAGATTTTTTTACATTTTTATCGTAATAGATCACTTAAATAAAAATCATAGTAATCATTTCTAATTAACTTTTGGCGTTTAAAAAGATTCTACAATGGAAATATTTAGAATTTAATTAATTTTAATGATTATATATCTAAAAAAACCAATAAATAAAAAGTTGCTAAAAAGATTTACTCAATTGAGCGTACTATAAAATTTGATTATAATTGTTAAAATCCATCATTAAATTCAAGTGAAACTAAAAATCATTTTTTTTTTAATTAATGATTTATATAGCAACATGTTACAAAAAAATTATAGACTGGTAGTAGCACACACAAATAAAGTTAAAAAATTAATAAATTACAAAGTAAAATTATTTATTTTTGAAGTTGAATACTGTTATCATATCAAATCTAATTCGACAATGAATACTTTAAGAATTTTAGAAATTAATAATTTTAATTGTTTGTATGGAAAAAGCTGGTTAATCTACTTTTTATTTGAATAAGGAATATTTTTTCGATTTTTAAGAGTAATAACTTAAACTAAATACAAATTGTAATCATTTTACATATCGTTGAAATAGTAGGTCTAGTGAGAGTTGGCAAAATAAATCGTAGCCACAAAAAAAACCACATAGTAAAATAATATTAACATGAATATAAATTTCTTCTCACGAGGGGAGACTATAGTGATAGAATCCTTTATATTCATTGAAGTTATTGAATCTAAATGAGATAAATATCAAATGATTTGAAAATTTTATTCTAACTCAAAAAAAATGCAAAAAATTCTCGCCGCACACGGAATCGAACCTCGTACCGCACGAATGATATGCATAAATGTTTCCGGCTCGGCAACTGTTCGTTGCTCTTATTGCATGATAAAATTGTCTATTTAAGCTAACTCAAATTTAAAACTTACATTTTTGACTTTAAAAAAATAAATAAAAGCTTAATTTCTTATTTCTTATGAACTTTATTCTATGTCAATTAAATTATAAAATATTCATGAAAGTCAGTGTATTGCCCTTATAAGATATTTTAAAATAAAATAAAATACAAAACCCAGGATTTTAACACAAAAATAGCATATTTTTGAATACGGTAGCCATTTGCGCATAAAAGATAGGTCGTCGGGACAAATTTTTTTTTTTAATTTTATAGTACATGACATAAGCTTTAATTTGATATATGTTTAAAGGACGCAGTATTTCCGGAACATTTTCAAAAATCAAGTTGAAAAAGTTAGTTTTTGTAAAAAAGTTGCTATTTTAAATCTCCCCCCATGATCAGGTTAAGTGTTAAATTTTCAAAAAAATGATATCAAACGAAAGGGAAATATCTAAGAATTTAGTATAAAAAAAAATTATGTTGATTTTTTTATTTTTCAAAAAGTTATGGAAGTTTTAAGAAAAAAAAGTGAAAAAAATGACAATATTTACCGATTTTTAAATTTTTAATTTTTTTGGATATTTTCCCCATTTGCGGGAAACGAGGGAAAATTTTTCAATTTTAAGGGTAATGTCTTCAACTAGAGACGATTTGTGATCTTTTAATTTGTTATACTATGTCATATAGATTGATATAATATTTACGAAAATCAGTGTAATCCCCTTATAATTAAATAAAATACAAAACCAACACTAATGTTGAATTTTTATGGTGCCCCAGTCATGTAGGAATATCTGACAATGAGATAGCAGACCATCTAGCCAAACTGACTAACTCCTTCAACCGACCACCTATCCTAAAAATTCCCTCTTCCGATCTCCTTTCCTCTTTTCTTCAAACTATTTATAAAGCATGGCAAGACAAATGGTCAAATTTTTCTTTAGCTAACTGGCATAAGTCTATAGTTCCAACTATCCCTAAACGTCCTTGGTTTTACAATCTCCCTCTGTCCCGTTTCCATATTACCTCTTTTTCCCGTCTTAGATTTTGTCATAATCGGTTACCTAGTCATGCCTTTAACATGTCTCTAAACCATTCCCCATTCTGTCCCAAACACAATGATGAAGTCTTCTGTAATTTTCCTCATTTACTATTTGATTGCCCAGCTTTACACCATAACCATTTACTCTTGTTCAATTTCCTGTCCTCCCTTAATATTTCACCCATTAATAGTTTTAATATCCTTAATACAAAATCCTCCTTAATAATCATACTTATAATTTCCTTCGTTCATTCAGCTGGCTTCGTTATATAATATTTTTCTGTATGTTAATTTAATATCCTAGATCTATTTTGTTTTGTTCTTTCTTTTTTAGTATTTTGAGTATGTTTAATTTATTAATTTAACAATATGTTTAATTGTGTATAATAACAATATTTTTTTTTCTTTTGTATAGTCTTAGTTTCTATTGTATAGTTTTATCTTAATCGTTTAGCTATAATAATACTTCTGTATTAAAAGCTAATAATAAAAAAAAAAAAAAAAAGAATTTTAACACAAGTGTAATTGAAACATTAAACATTTTAAATAATCTATAGTTTTTTAAATTTTTATTATATTTTTTTTTTTTTTAAGAACGTTTATTAGAAAATTTATAATCTATACAGCTATATGTACAATAAGTAAATATGTGAATAGGACTAAAATAGACAATGATATGGCGGCGAGGAGGAAGCTCACATTAGAGCCACCTGTGTATTATTAATTTTAAGTGGGTTAAATAATATTAAGAAGGTCTCTTGACCAGTTGCGTTTGAGGCGTCTGTTTGGATTGCCCGGAAGAATTGTTGAATGTAGCTGAGTAACGAGACGGTTTGGATGGGATTGCATTTTGGAATGTAGTCTTTTGTAATATATGTGTGCAGTTTTTTTAACTGTAGCTATTTTGAGGTCTTCACGGAGGGAGTTGTTGGTGACGTACCACGGTGCTTTGGTTATCATACGGAGACAAATAGACTGGAACGCCTGTATTGTCCTTATGTTAGACGGCTTTGCAACACCCCAGAGCGCGATACCATATGACCATATTGGTTGAAGGAGGGATTTGTAAAGAAGTAGACGATAGGATATGTGCTGGTTGTGTTGGATGAGCGGTCTTATTAGATGATGACGAGTATTTAGCTGTTTCCGTTTACTTTTAAGATGAGGACCCCATGTGAGCGTTCTGTCGAATAGCAAGCCCAGATATTTCGCTTCCCTTGCTTGTGGAATAATATTGTTGTTGAGAATTATGTTAGGACAGACATTTTGACAAAGGGTGAAGGTGATGTGGGTAGATTTTAGTTCATTGATTTTTATTTTCCAGGTGTTACACCACTTGGATAATATGTTGAGGTGAGATTGTAAAAATTTGCTACAGTTATGCAGATCTTGATCGGCAGCTAGCATTGCAGTGTCATTTGCGTATGTTCCGATGAGTGTTTGCGGTATGTGGAATGTCAGCTGTGTAGATGATGTATAAGAAAGGAGCAATGTCGCTACCTTGGGGGACTCTGGCTTGAATATTATGATAATCGGATAGTGTTGAATTAAGTTTGATTCTAAAAGACCTATTTTCAAGGTATGATTTGAGTAGTAGAAAGTATGGTGCAGGAAATATTTTTTTTAATTTATATAGTAAGCCGGTGCCAGACCGTATCAAATGCTTGCGCGACGTCGAGGAATACGGCAGAGCAGTATTTTTTGGATTCGAGAGATGTAGCAATAGTATCTACGACTCTGTGGAGTTGATGGAATGTGGCATGTTTTAGTCGAAAACCAAACTGAAATTCAGGTATGGTAATTTTTATGGTAAATTTTTATTATATTTATAATACAAAACTGGTAATAATGCATCAATGCAGTATTTTTGCTAAAAAGTTTTCAACTATCAGATTCATAAACCCATTCCAATCAGAAGACATTACGCTGTTGATGGATGAAATCGACGTTGTATTTGTTATTCAAACAAGGGTTTGGGATATACAATACATAGGATTGATGGGATTATACTGTGTGTTTACAAATATATCACTCTAGGTGAATCGTTCTATATAGGTCTGCCACAATAATTTGAAAATCAATAGACTACAATAAACGTTCAGAACGTAAATGACAGTAAGTGTTTTAAACAATATACATTCAATGTACGCCTATAAATATCATCTAAAGAGAATGTGTTAGAAATTTCCTGTAAAAGAGATAGGCGATGCGGTAGGGTGGGTGCGGGGCCAAAACTATGAACCTGTCCTTGACGCTCTTCTGAACCGGGTATGGGGTTGGCAGAGGCGAGTGATGAACCAAACGGTATCCGGAATGGTGGCTGTCATCACTGCTACATGCTGGCTAACTAACTGGCTGAGAAACAAGCCACCGGGCATGAGCTTCGCATTCCGAGTAGACCTGATGTTAGGGAGCCGAAAGACACCGATGATTGCGAGGATGATTTGGACCGAATCATTATTACAGGGTTTCAACTTCAAGTCGCAGTGCAAGTGGTTGACATCTGAGTGAAGTTATATTAAATTATTTCAATTATATGTAATTGAGTCATTTTATAAGTCAAAATTAAGTATATTGTCTTTTTCATTTCTTTGTGTAAGAACATCTCCTTTTCTTTATATTGTATATTTTAATATATGAAAAATAGAATTAAACCAAATCGGTTTTAGAGTTGGTGTAGAACAATGATGGTCGCTTTGAGAATTGGGAATTTGGATTACTATATAAATGCTCATTTACAATATTAGAATATATTTCCATGTACTTTTAGAAGTATATGAAAAGTGTTTAAAAACAAAGGAATAAGGTTTGGAAATAACAATAAAAGAATAGAGCAAAACCAGATCGCTACAATTATCGCTGGTGAAAACTGCTAGCAATGACTCATTTCTCGAGACACTTGGGCATATGATCGCATACATTAGTTCTTATAAATTTTTAGTACTAGATTTTGATAATTTGTCGCAAGACTACAACTTATGTAAACATAATTTTTGAAGTTGTTCCGAAACGACAACTTTTAACATATTTCAAGTTATTTAAGTGTACTACAATAAAAAAAAATGGCAAACCATTTTTATTGTAACTATAAGTTTTAATTTCATTATGCATTTAAAAAAAACGATTTAAAAAATGTTGTACAAATAAAAATGTAAAACAAAAATTAATCGACTGTGAAAAGCTTTATGGCAAACATATGCCAGTAGTTTTGTTCAAAAAATAATTTTTTTATTAAATGACATAATTTTTAGTTTACCTTTGCATTGATCACTGTCCAATATCTATACATGTTCAACCATGCCAAGTGCTTACTATGCTGGATTTTTAATTGAAAGGCACCGGTGTCCAAGTCTCAGCAATCATCTATTATGCGCATAACTTGAGTCACTTTTCTTGCTGATAAGCGAAATATATATCTTCATATAAATGGACTTTTATAACCTAAGATATTATCATTTTATCATGATACCTGTTGCTGCTTTTGCACACGATGCAGTCGCGCGTTATATCTGTTTTTGCAGTTACCTTGCCACAATCGCTTATTGGTGTCCAATACAAATATCGACGTTATAAAATGAGGTACGCGACGAACCGTTGGACATCTTCTTATGACAACAAAACATATGATTGTATACATCATATTAGTTCTTATACATTCCTGGTATTACATTTTTATATGTATTTCGAAAAACAATCTCAATTATTAAATTCGTTCATGATACCTCATGAATTCCTAGTACGAAGTTTTAAACATGCACAATATTGTGTAATCTGATACGGAACAGTAGGGAATACAACTAATTTTCCATTTAAACGTGCGCCCTTAACAAAAATCTAAATTGGTGGATACACAAATTTCGTACCTCACAAATTTATCCAGTTAATAAATAAATTTAATTTTATATGATCTTAGATAAAATAACACAAAAGAGACAACATTTTGTCTGTATGTTAAATATTTTGATATAAAATCACTGAAATAAACATTATTGTAAAACTCTACATTTCATAGTTTCTAAAAGAAATTTATATGTCCCTTGTTATAAATCTAGATAAACATAAACTATTAAACAAAATTAGACTTTTATAAAAGGTTTGTTAATTATATTAGAAAAAATTTTATACGGTTAAGAAAAGTACGATAAAGTTTTTTTATATAATTATGTTTCATTTAACTTTCATCATTATTTCGTTCTTAAAAAAATATTGATTTATTTAAGTTAATTTGAAATTATTTCCAAATCGTTTCCTCTAATTTATAAAAGGAAAAACTACTTGGGTGACACTAATGAATAATTTACATACTATACAACTTTCTAAGAATTAAATTTAAGCTTATTTTCTAAAAGAATCACCAAATTATTAGATATGATATAAAAAAACTATTAATAACCTATAAATATCAGTAACTAAGTTTGCGAATATATGTGAACGATTTTTTATCGTACAATTAGTTAATAATATTTGATAAGAAAATTTATCAGCAACAAAATGAATATCCAACATGTTGCATTCTGAGATACTATTGGTTCGCACGTAAATATAAATTGCGTAAAACGACTAAAATTAAAAAAAAAATGACTAAGACAATCGTATTTATTTCTGTAAAGTTACTTTAAAAAGTGATTGGTATCAAAAAAAAAAATTTTTTTTAAAGAATGAATAGATGATAATAAATTTTAAAAACTAAACTAACTATTCTATGTATAGGTAATTTCTTTTTTTTTATCTTAAAAAATACTTTGAAATCATGACTAAAAAGACTAGAAATTTAATTTACCTATTAACTTTTATTGCATCGATTTCTAAATCTTCATCAGTGATTGAAGAGTAAGTATTCATTTTTATAATGTTTTGATAAACTTAAAAACAATTTATAATTTAAATAGTCAAGTTAAATTAAACATTTTATTTCACAACTTCACTTTAGAGAAGTTCTACCAGAAGGATGTGAAGAGCTTTTACAGCGTTTTGCTAATGATACTGCTAGGTTCACATCATGCATTATCAATTATTCTCGACCTATTGAAGTATGCCAAAGGTGTATGAATGAATATTACCAAGTTTTAGATGGTTATGAAAAAATTGAAAAGGTCAGTTTTTTCAATAATGTTGTGTCATATGATTATTTTATTAATTTTCTTTTTCTTTTAAATTTTTTTAAAGCTACACAAAAATGATAGTGAAATTGATTGTCGTGCTGTTTTAATAAATATTGATCGATTACGTGTTGTCTATGCAAGTTATAAGTATGTGGTTCATATGTGGGACAAGGCATCTTGTTCTTGTGAGTATAAAATAACTCGTTTAAAAATATATTGAGGGAATATACATTTAGTAATATATTTTATTTATGAAATTCAATTGTTAATTTATAGTATGCTTAAACGGAACAGAATTAAATGATAGAACAAAAGAAGTTATAAAACTTGGTAAACAATTTCAAGCTTGTACCGTAAATCATATGAATGATACAAATTTAAATGGTTCAATCTGTACCTTTTGTAAAAGTGATTATCAAGAATTAAATGATTTCTATAACAAACACAGAAAGGAAAAAGAATTTTGTATGGATGTTGTTGATTTGGTAAGCTGGTTCTTGATTTCTGTAGTGTTATAGTTATTTAATTTATTGTCAATTTATAGATTAATACTACTCAAAGTGATTGGAGCGTATTGTGGAAGTGCCATGTATCAAATTACAATTCAGAATCAATTCTATTAGTTATTTCATCCTGTGTATTATTAGCACCAATAATCTTTTATTTTATTAGTTGGTTGTTAACTAAGGAAAGAACTAATGAATTGTTATCTCGTGAGTATTTTTATCTTCTTGTCAATATGTTTCTTACACATTGTTATGAGTCTTTGTGTGATTGTTTGCACATTGATTATCATAGATCTTTTGTATGATGAATGCATAGATTTGATGGTAAAATGAAATGTCTTTATTTTAATTTTCAACTATTCTATTTTATTTTTAGAAAAATAATTATTGTTAAAACTTCAAATGTATAAATATTTAAACAAATATGTATATTTTATTAAAAATTGTATGTAATAAATAAAATTTCATTTCATTTATTCATTTGTAAACAATTCAGTTTCACAAATTCTTTTTTTTTTCGTATAAATTTACTAAGTTACTGTATTTTATGAAATAATAAACGTGTAGCCGTTTTGAATGCTATGAATTTCCATTCTTGTGATTCACTAGATACTAAACTTTAAATGAATATAACTTAAATTTCTAATTAAAAAATTAAACTTAAAAATAGGTTGAAAAAGTAAAAAATATCTTTTTACTATTTTTTAAAATTGAATTTTATATTTTTCCACAATCATTATGTTATTTATTTTGATTTAATTTGTATATTAAGATTTAATAAAATAGTAATTATTTTTTGTTTCTTATTTTGTACTGAATAGTAAACTTTTTTATTTTTGTAGAGAATCGTTGGCAAGAAAGATTTAATGCTGCTTCTACTTCAGGCTATGTAGTCATTTCTTAAAAAAAATAACTATAATAACTCTTTTTAATTATTTAAAATATAACTTACGATGACTTTTCTTTAATAAGTTTTTAATATTTGCATAAATTTACTGATGTCCATTAATCTTATTAGTTTATTTATATCTATTTTTATTTTACCAAACTTTTGATTTTAGCTCTGTGATATTTGTAAATTTAAGACAGATAAACTATATTTTTTCAATTTAACTTATACTTTATAAATGTCTACATTTATTATTTACAAATTTATAAATACAGGTTAAAATAATTAAAAATCTAATCCTAAATTATTTTAGGATTATTTATTATAATATCTATCATTTTAGTATTAATAATATATTGACCTAAGAAGAATAAAGTCTCTCTTATACCCATCTATTATTTAAATCTAAAGTGTCCTACCGTGGTTTACTATTTTGACTATATAACCCGTGTTAAAATTAGTAAATTATAATGGGACACTCTATATAAATGTGAACATAAATATTGTAAACATTTATAACTCTAGGAAAAATTAGATTTTGTCATTAAATTAAATTTGTGAATTAATCTACAAATTTAATTCACGGTACAATATTTAATTACAAAGTAAAATATAATTACAATATGCAACATACAATTTATTTTACATAGCAATGCCTTAAAGTTATTTTCTACAATAATATTAATTTGTCTCATTTTACATTTAAAATGCTTCTTTAAGCCTACATAAAAAAATAACTAAATAATAAAATATTTACATCAGATTTAATATAAAATTCATACAATGTTTAACAATTAATCTTCAATAATTACAACTACAAACATAGAGTAAATCCATTACTTTTATTGATTAAATGGACTTGTATCTATCATTGAAATTTTATTTCATTTTTTTTTAAGTAAAAATTTTGATTAAAAACAATCCTAGTAAAAAGCTATACATATTTTAGTTTTTTTTAGTGAGCTATAATATAATTCTTAATACAAACATAACCGTAAATGAGACTCCACATTCAGTGGAAAAATAATTTTTTCAATTGTGAACATAAATTGATGAGTTAAACTTATTATATATCAAAGTATTAAATTAAATAATCTAATGATTAACATTTTATACAATAAATTGATATAAGAAGTTAATATTTTAAATATTTGTATATTATAATACACATATGATAGTTTCACTGTGGCCGCTGAAACTGTTTTAAAACCTAAAAAAATTAAATTAAATGTAGCATAATAATGTTAGACATAAAATTAAATATTATTAAGAATAAAATAAAATTTTCCTACAAATTTGCTATAAAATAATTAAACTTCTGTTTCAGCCTAACTTAAATAAATTCTAGGCCAAAATTATAAACACAATAATAAATTCTATTTATTTTTATAAATATAATCTTATATCTTTTTCCAGATATATTCTTTGAATAATATTTTATTGATTTTTTAAATTAAAGGCCTAGATATTTATCTTGTAACTATCGTCTTATAAGATATAATAATTAATTGTAAATTTTTATTCCTTAAGATTCTTTAAATTTAATAACATCATCTTCTCATTCTTTATTTCTCTTTAATTCATTTTATATGAGAATATGAGGTGCTCATCCAATCAAATTTAGCATGCATGTAATCATAATGTAAAATATTAAAATCAATTGTTAATTTATATTTTCTTCTAACTAATATATTTTGCATCTACATTACAATTGCAATATTTTATATTATTATATATTTGCTGTAGTTTTCATTGAGATTCAACTGATCTTTCTACATATCGTTCTTGATTGTTATAATATTTTTAATTTAACTTTTTTTAAAGTCATTTCACAAGAATTTATTTACACAAATTAAGAATTTTTTCTATTAATAAAATAATGGACCTCGGGTACATAAAATAATATATTATCTCAACCTTAATTTATATTGGGTGGGTTCTTATTTAATTGTTTTTTGCCTAATTATAGAGCAATATAAATTTGAATAAGTAATGTTTTTTTATAATAAGTTAATCATGTATTAAAAACTAAACCATGTTTTTAAAACAAACAATGTTCCAAAAAATAAGTAAAAATAAATGAGGTGTTTAAAATGCAAGAGGAATAAATAAAGTCTTTTTAATTTTGAAAAAAATGAATTTTTGTTTTCCATATAACACCATAAAATACAATCCATCTTCATCATTTTTATGGTGTTTTAGCTTCGATGCGAATTTTACTATGATGTGTTTTTTTTTTTTAATTTTTTTTTTTATGTCTGTTACCACTTTTTTTCAGCTCTCACTGCACTGATTTCTTTCAAAAATACGTCAAAAGATCACAAATCGTATCTAGTTGAAGACATTACCCTTAAAAATTAATATGCTATTTTAACAAATTTTTTTTTTTAATTAAACACTATCTACAGATTTGCATTGAAGCGTTTTTTATGATAGTGATTTTAATCACTGTCAGATATCATCTATGACACGAACCCACTGTGCCACCACCCTACTGTGCTGGGTGTTTATCATACAATTTATTAGTATAATAAGATCGGTTGGTTTATATTCTAATATCCATTAGAGGATATCTCATAGAATAAGGGACTGGTAGATTTTATATTATAAAAGTTTTTTAATAATATAATCAATTTTTATCATACAATTTATTTGAAAATTGAGTGATTCTATTAATTTTTTAAAATAAAACTAATTAGAACAACTAATTATCATTTTGACTGTTCACCTAACTCAATTTTTTTTTAAATGTTATCTATCCTCTTTGTATTCTAAGAGCCTCATATACATAGCTATTACTGTGATACTTACTCTATTGAGTTTGTTAAATGAAGATCATCGATTTTTTACTTTTTTTGTACTAGAAGCACGTTTGGCTGACGCCAATAAATTTCTAGGTGTTGATGGACCATTTGTTAGATTATTAGTTTTACCACTCTCTTTGGTAATATTATCTTCACTACCACTATTGCCAGTTTGAGATTCACTTTCACTATTAATTTCAGCTGATATAACAAAACACATTAAATGTTAAATATAATTATACAATTAATAGTTAAATTAGAAATATTTATCTGGCTCACCTTTTTCTTGAGCTTCAACCAAACCACTTACAGCCTTAACAAAAAATAAATATGTATATATATAAATAAGTCATAAAATATTTGTAAAAATCATACAATTTGTACAATTTTAAACACTAATACACATTAATAATTGTAGTGTATTCATACATTTTTATTTATACTTAATATTTTTCAAAATTATAGGTTTACTGTAAAACAAGTGATACAAATAAGCTTAACATTTCCAAAACCCATACATTCTATAATTTATTTAATGTTTACACAATTTAATGGCAGAATATGTTGTTCATTAAACCAATTAATTGTTGATAGATTTTTGTTGGAAATGTTGGGTCAATTTATTTAAATTAAATCTATTAGGGGTTACCACTATAAATAAAACAATTTATTTTTTACTATGTTATAAATTTAGTTAAATACAAGCTAAAATATGGTCTATTATCAAAAATATACTAAAAATTATAACTAAAAAGTGTTAATTTTTTTAGACCTTGAAGTCATTATAAAAACAATAAGTAAAAACAAACAATAAGTTATAAGTTGGGTAAGTTTAATAAATTTAATTATAATAGTTTCTGGTAGATAATTTTTTGTGAATTTAAATATGACTCAATTATTATAGAATTCATTATTTTATTTTACTTTTACAATAAAGTTTGATTTTTTAGTCAGTATTTTAATAGAAAGATGAATTTTTAAAATGTTAATATTTATCTTACTGCCATTGAAGTTATAGATGATTTAGAAAATAAACGTTCAGCTTCTTTGAATTTTCTATTTCTTGGTTCATTTTTTGTATTCGGTAGTTTATTAGCTGATGTCAAATATCTGTCCCATCCACGAATAATATTACCATACAAATGTGTATCTTCTAGATAACTTCCCTCAAAAGCATATATTTGACGTTCAAGATTCGCTAAAGTCTCCTGAAAAGTTCATGGTATATTATTTAATATAGACTAGATAATAGTGTATTTAGGAATTTTCTACAAGCGATCCAGATAATTTTAAAGTGGGGGCATCTTCATCATAAAACCCACCATAATATGTCACTGAGACAAGATAGGTGTCAGATTATAATTATAATGTTCTGTTTAGATAAAAGTATTCAAATTTAATGAAATAATATAAGTTAAATTTTAAACTTATAAATATTCTATAAAATTTATATCTCTAAATCTTCATATATCATAACTATAATTCAATTAAAAACTTAAATATCTAAATTAAATTAAATTTATTATTAAGTTTATACAATCTTAATCAAAGCACTATTTTGAATATATGAACAAAAATGCAAAATGTAATCAATCATTTATTATGACAAATATAAAATATATTAATAAAATTAAAAAATAAAGTAATCTTACAGCTATGTCCGATTTACGTTTCACCAGTTCAGCTAACTCTGTCCGCAAATCGCTGGAATTAGAAGACTTTGACATGGCTAATAATAGGCACTTTAACGTTTGAAATACTTGTAATTGTCAATCAAATTTTCTTCTCTCTTTATTTTAAGAAAAATGAATTAATATTTTGCCCAAGATGATCAGTTTTATTATAAAACCCGGTATTCCACAATTCGGCGCTAAAAAGCGTTGACTATCCATTATCAATAAACACAAATTAGAAAAGATAACACAAAATGGTAACACTAATCGGTAAGATAGTAAATCTGGAATATAAATGGTCACACTGCAAATTTTTTTTAATAAAGTGAGGTTTATAAATAATAATTAACCATAAATTGATCTATTGTAATTATCTATCTAAAATCATATTTAATATTATTATCTATGTCTAAAATGGGTCATTTGAAAGGAATATCAGAACATCAACAGAATTAATTAAGTTCTGTACTTATTTTGTGTACAGTGCATGTACTTAGTGCAAAATAAAATACTTCTTAATTTTAACATAAAAAATTTTTGATAAATTTTTTCATAATATTGTATAAAAATAAAGTATTAAAATGTTTAATGAGTTTTATGTATAATTTTGTTCGTGATGATTAATTTGTAGTAAAAGTTGATTGGATGTCCATAGAATATTATTATGAAAGATACAATATTTTTATTAACGCTGTACTATCTAACAGATTTTAATCCGTTAGTCGGTTTTGCGCAGGGCATAATATCCAGCATCAGTGATTGATAATTTTTTACATATTTGATGCACTACCCGGGGGGTGGTAGTGGGCGTCCAAGGGATGCAAGTAAACATATACAAAAAGAAATATATAAATTTGATAAAATCACTTAGTTGTTTTGTTAGTTATTAAATCGTCAAATATCTACAAGTACATGTTAATATGTATAACTTTAGTTCAAAGACCAATTTAATAAAATATTTAAGTGTCGATTTAAATTAGGCAAGTTTTGAATATTATTTTAAAAACTATATACAGCGATTAAAATATTTAGATCACCTTGAATATACAATAAAATTGATCTAATAATGTGATTATTTTGAAGTTAAGTCTAACGTGTATCAAAAACAACTATTTGTTAAAGTATGAAATAATTTTTTTTAAGATCGTATAAGTTATTTAAAAACGCTTTTCTGTTAAAAAAATGTCACCTTAATAATATTAAAAATTGAGCAAATCAATAAACAGAGACTTGTAAGTTATGCACTTAAATGAATACATTTTTATGTAATAAATCTGTAGTCCTATAATTGCAAAGAAGACTTGGTAGGATTCAACTTATATATTTATTGAATTACTCATTTTTGTACGATTTTGCTTATTAAATTATTTTTAAAGATTGTCAAAATAATTTTATTACACAATTAGGATTGACTCCTGAATATGGTAATGATTTAATGGCTATTAATAAATATTAGAGAATATGTGAGAATTTTAGACATCATAATAGTCAATATTTTTTTCTAATTGTTGTTTACTCAAATAATAGATTTATTAGACTTTCTTTAAGTTTTCACTAGGTACCCTTTTCTACTTTTAAAAGATGATTTCTATAATTTAATAAATATTATTCAATTAAAATTTTTAATAAAATATCTAAATGACTTGTCTGGAATTATTTATTTTAATTTAGAAATTATAATTGTATTATTGTATGCTTAATAATAAGCAATAGATAATTTGATTTTAATTCATGACAATTTTGTAAAATTTTTCAGAAGTTATACAGCATTTACATACTGTAGAGTATACAAATAAATGGAATCAGCTAAAAATGTTTCTACAATTAACCCTGATGATTCAAAAAATATTTCTGAGAAAGAAAGAAATGGTAATATTTCTATGCAAATTATGCCAAATCAAGCGTCTCTTCATTCAAATCAAATTCTTTTAATAAATAACACGGATGGTCAACCAGTGTCTGGTATTTTATTACCAACTAATCATTTTATGTTTAAATTAAACCAGAATCAATTTCCATCAGAGTTAGAAGTTGATGAAAATATTGAACGTGAATATCCATCCAAATATTTTTCCATGAATTCAAATGAAAAAAAAATGTTTCGGGAAACATTTTATAACACTTTACTTCATTTTAAACACCAGATTATTAGAGATGGACGAGTTGTTACTTCATCTGATCCTATTTGGGATCAAGTTGCCCAAAAACTAAATAATATATTGAAACCAAAAAGTATTTATAATCGTTTTATACTAAATAAACACTCTTGTCGTACAAGGATTATTCAAGAATATGTAAAAAATTCAGTCACACAGTCAATAGACACATCTTTGTCAAATGATTTTTTAAATACTGACCAAATGCTGGAAGCTTCTGAGAAAAGACCAGGTTATGTTGATGATGAAACATTTTTCAATGCACTTTTTACTTTTAAAGAAAAAATTTTACCAAATGGTGAAGTTGCTCCAAGTGTAGATTCAGTTTGGAGTGAAATATCTGCATACTTAAATCATGCATTGAAACCAAATAGTATTTATTTAAGATTCAAACGAAACACTCATAATTGTCAAAAGAAATTGCTTGTTCAATGTAAGTTTGATCCTTCAACAGTAAAAACTTATGAAGTATCTAATCGAAAAGCAGTTTATTCAACTGATAAGCCATTTACAAGAATTAAGAAAAAAAACTTAAAATTTGAAGATTCTAATAAGTTTTTCAAAGCATTATATGCTCATAGACACCTAGTTATACAAAATGGATCAATTGCAAAACAAAATAGTTTTGTTTGGAATGAAGTAGCCAAGATGTTGGATTATGCTTTAGAGCCTGAAGATGTGCACTCTAAATTTATTCGCAACCACAATTTATGCCAAACTAAACTCATTGAAGCTTGTAAAGAGGATAAAGATTTTACCCCTATTAATTTACCTAAATTCAATAAACAAAATTGTGTATCAGATCATTCATTTTTCAATACATTATGCAAGTACAAAAATGATATTCTTCAGAATGGAAGTGAAATAGCAAAGTTTTCTCATCCTGTTTGGACTCAAATTTCTAGAGATCTTAATGATGCATTAAAGCCAGCAACTGTTTATTTCAGAGTTTCAAGAAATTCTCAAATGTGTTTGAATCGTCTCATTAAACTTCATAATGATTCATCAGATTTCAATTGTAAACCAATTATCACTAAAGCTGAATTTTTCGAAACTATATGTTTGTATAAATATTCAATTTTGAATGATGAGAAAATAGTTGATCTTACAGATCCAGTTTGGAATGAAATTTCTCTTCAACTAAATTCAGCTATGACTCCTGAAGCCATATATAATGCTGTAGTAGGAGATGAAAATTTTTGTAAAACAAAAATGATTCAAGCTTTAAAAACTGAATGTAGTGTTTTTTCAGGAAATAATCATGATGAATCAGAAGCAATTGGTGAAATAACACCAATTATTGAATGTAAAGTGGACAATGATGTTAACATTGATGATTTTATTGAAGTTCTTAGAAACTTCAAATCTTCTATTTTAAAAAATAATGGGCAACTAGCAACAATAAATGACAAAGTTTGGGAAGAAATATCAGACTTACTAAAAAATATGAAACCGGAGGAAGTTTACTCACGAGTCATAAATGATTATAAAAATTGTCGTAGTAGACTTTTTACTCCTAATTCTAATCAGAAAACTTATTTTTTTGATGCATTGTACAGTTACAGAAATTCAGTCATCAATAATAGTGTTATTGCAAATATAAATAATCCAGTGTGGAAAAAAATAAGTGAAAAGTTAAATAGAACTTTGGAACCCAAAGAAATTTATTTAAGATTCGTTAAAGATAAAAAATTTTGCCGTACAAAACTTTTGGAAGCTTTAAAAAAAGAAAATGCACAAGTTGTTAGTTTTGACAGAGATCAATTTATAAATGCTTTAATAGATCACAAAGACATCATTTTAAAAAATGGAATTTGTGCAAAAGCTGGAGATCCAATATGGACACAAATAGCCAACAAACTAAATTTTATAATGAAACCATTAGGTATCTATAACAACTTTTTGATGAATAGATATAACTGTCAAAGAAAAGTGATTGAAGCTTTTGAACAAGAAAGAGAGAACAAAATGCGTAAAACTATAAAGTTTACAACACAAATTGACCATGACTACACTAAAGGTGATATTGACACTAGTTTTGAAGATATAGTATTTATGAGACAAAAGGTTGGGTATGTCCAAGAAAACGATTTCTTAGATGCATGTATATATTTTAAGGATAGTTTAATAAAAAATAACAAAATTGTATCATCAACAAATGATGTGTGGAATAAAATATCTAAACATCTCAATTATGCTATAAAAGCTAAAACAGCTTATTTACGTTTTAAAAGAAATACTCACAACTGTCAAACTACACTTTTCAAATTATTAAATTTGCCTAAACCCTACATTGTCAATCAAGAAGAACTATCATGCAGTGATGAAGATTTAAATATTGAAAATGAAATGTTCTTTGATGCTATTACTATTTTTAAACATTCCATAATTAATTATGGTGATTTTGCTGGTGAAAACTCTCCAGTATGGTTAGATGTCTCAAATTTAATGGATAACTTACTAAGTCCCAAAGAAGCATTTGAGAAGTTTCATCTAAATGTAGATTTGTGTCGTACAAAGCTTACAGAAAAATGTTTATCTGATTGGAGTACAGAATCAGATGTGGTTATTAAAAATAGACTTAATTTGATTAAAGAAAAAGAGTCTAAATGGGAAATTAATTCACAAAGTAAATTGTCAAATAATCATATAAGGGGAAAATGTAGTGAACAAGGTATAATAGATGATGTTTTATTTTATGATGCTATATATAAACATAAAAATGAAGTATTTAATAATGATTTAGTTGCTAGTAGTTCAAATCCTGTGTGGTTCGCAATTTCTGAAGAATTAAATAATCATATGACCCCATTAGAAATTTGTTTAAAATTTAAAAATAATTTGGCTAGTTGTAATATAAAGTTTTCTGAAGCTGCACAAAGATACAATTTTTTGAAAGCAAAACAAGAACAATCAATGGAAGTTGATATAATTGATTGTAGTCAATACATGGAAATTGATCAAGAAATGACATTGAATTCTTTTGAAGATACTGATTATACAAATATAATCACTACCCCAACAATAAATACTCAAGTCAATAAACTTAAATCAAAAAAAGATCTCACATTTAAAACTAAGCACAATGGAATTACATTGATTGATTGTGAAGATAATTGATATCACTAAATATTAAACTATTATTCATATTATGTATAGATTTTTTTTCTTTGAATATTAAGGACTAACTATGTTACCTATTTTAATTTGATATATTTGATTTTTTTTTTATTTGGGGTTGTGCAATATGTCCTTGATATTATTATTTTTTATGTCAAATATTATTTTGCTACCATATAAATGACTCATAGATATTTTTATTCATTTAATGTTACCTAATGTTGTTCCTTGCTTTAAAAATATTAGTTTATAATGTATATTTGACTTTCTAGAAAATATTTAATAAAATGTAATTTATTAAATGAGAATGCTCAAATTAGGACTAATCCTCATAGTATCAATGATGAAACCCTTATGAATTATAAAATCATTTTAACTCTTTAAGACTCATTTGATTTAAGTTTACCTTTCTTTTCTGAAGACTTGTATCTACTACCTTTATAAATATACTTAGATATGACATATATTAAGTCATATTGTTATTAGCTACTATAAAATTATTTTTGTTCATTGTTTGATCATATAAAATTTTAAATACTTAACAGTATTATATTGTATTCTACTTATTGTAAAACATCAGGATTTTTTTTTGTGAAAGACCTAAGAAATTTTTTTGTTTTAATATTTTACAATCTAATTATCACTGTTACTAATTACATTTTTGAAAAAAAAATTTTTTTCTTTGTTAATTTTGTAAACAATAAATTACTCAACAATTTAAATTGCTATACTAATTTAAAATTTATTATCTGCTCAGTTATGTTTATCTCACATAATTAAAGATAATATTTAACTATAAGTAATTATTTGTTAAATTAGCATTGTATGATTTTATCATTTATTTAAAATAGTGAATGTTTATTTTTTTTAATTGACAAAAAATATAAATTATGAATAGATAAATTGTGCCCAAGATTTTGTGATTAGAGTTATAGAATAGTAAATTTAAAATAAGGATGTCTGATGTGTATAATAGATTGATTTTGCATTTATGAAAAAAACTTCAATTTATCTAATCTTTTTTTTAACTTATTACTGATTTTTTTAAATTGAAAATTGTAAAAGTTCTGAGATTTTATGCCCAATACTTTAAATATAAGAACTGTCAAATATAATTAATCAAATAAATTGAGTGTTTTAAGTATTTTAAATTCTACCTTTATTAGCAAATAACAAATTAAATATACTACTTCCTAGACTTAATAGCAGCCTATTTGTAATTACTACAAAAATTAAATAATTCGTATTTGCTTACAAAGAAATTAAGCATTCATGCTTATTTCTTTTTTAATTAAATTAAGATGTAATTGAAGAATACATGTATAAATCTGTTGACATGCATGTCAGTAGCTAAATACTTTCCAACTAAAAGGATTAAATAAAGTATTATTATATTATTAAAAACAAATTGTTTGAGGTACTAATCAGTAAATTCACTTAGGATATTAAAGATAGATCCTGTCAGCACTAAAATAATCATGAAAAAGATAAAAACGAGTTTAAAAAAACAATTATTTTGTATGGCCCCCAAAAAAAATTGAAAGCGCCCTTGAAGGGAGTACAACTTTTTTAATTAAGAAAATTACTATCATAAGTATAATTAGACTATATATGAAAGTCGTGAAATTTAAAACTATTGATTGAACTAGATTTGATAACTATCATGATCGTTAAAAACTTGAATACTATTTCTCGGTTAAAGGTCTTTTTTCAGTTTTTATGACTTGCCCGTAGTATTCCTTTAGAACAAATAGGGTTTTGGACCCTAGTATCTACTATCTTCCGTTATATTTATTGGTTCTTGCGAGTAATATTTCTAAAATTATTATTTTTTTTTTTTTACTAAGGAAATGCCTCTAATGTTCTTTTTCTAGAAATATTCTTATGGTCGAAAGGTGTCACGAAAAAGACATTGTCAATACTCTGAGTCACTGACACATTCGGATATTTTTATGTGTATCCAACCGGTTGTTGTCGGTATCGTTTCGAGCACGAGGCGGTGGGGTGTCGCCGGTGGTAAACGCACTAGGTAGGGGTCACGATCGCGGTCGTCGTCGACTCTAGTGTACTAGTCTGCACTAGAACCATTATTAAGCAGCAACGAACCATCCAAAGTCCAAGCCGGTCGTTGACTTCACTGCGCGTTCTTCTGCCGAACTACCGCTCGTTTACTACCGGCTCGCACGACCGACCAGCCCCGTTCAATCTGTGTTAGGCCACCGAGAAGCAACGCACCGACACGCTATATTTTACACGAACACAATTCCGATTACCGTACAAACTACCCCCGCGTATGTCCCGCTGGACATGACCGCTTACCGCTATTCGTCGTCCAAGTGTGCTTAACGTGTTCAGTACCAGTTACAAGGAAAGTTTACTTCGCAAGATACCCGTGGTCGCACCCTCAGACTCCTACCCCGACGTCACCATGTCCACCGACGCCGCCAGAGGGACTGGTAATGTTAGCCAACTCTTATACAAGGTACGCGAATTTAAAGACCTTTACGTTAAACACAATAACAGGTACAAATTACTTGTAAAAATAATCATCTTCAAAAATATTTTGGAAATTGGCAAAAGTAATTGGAAAAGTATTTGGCCTGTCTTAATATAAACGTATTATCTTTCTGAAATAAACTATCTTTGGCATAACACTTATTTTCTACTGTAATAGTCTTTCAAAAAAAAAAAAAAAATGTTTGATACATTAAAAGAGTTAATTTAGTTATATTTAGTAGAGTCAAGTAATTTTTCTTCTGATTTTTATTATTATTATTTTTGCTATATAATTATTTTATTTAAAAATGATTTTTTTGAACTTGGAATTTATGTAGAACATCAATTAATAATATGATTTAAATACAAACGAATTTAATTTTCATTTTTATTATGGCACGATTTAACGATAAATTTAAAAAAATATATGAATTAGTACATAATCTTTTTATTTTTGATAAAATGGATTGAATGATAATTTTTTTATAATGGATCCATTAGACATTTAACCTAGATAGTCATTTCTTGAACAACATTATTAAATTGTGAATTTATTATTGATTACCAGTTATTTATTTAGCAATAATAAACCTAATATTTAATACATGATTAAATAAAATAATTATTGCAGCGATTAAGTTATTAATAATTACTAATTATTACTGGGTATTTATAATTTTAATCAATATTACGATAGTTGATAGAATTATGACATTCCAACTCTCAGATGAAAAATTAAATTAAAAATAACATGATAATTCTAGAGAGTCCAAGAATTATAGTAAAATTATAGTACGAGTATAATTTTCGTTTTGTACTAATCTATTGCCATGCAAATATAACACGACATGCAAAGGATTTGTCATTTAGACATAGATATCTATCTACACCTCTCCTATGAGTACAATGAACATCCATTAGCTGATGTAAAAATAATTATTTCCTAAATCGAATTTTTTTATAATAATCTAACCTTGAAAATAAAACATCTTATTCTTCGAGTGTTGTCCGGTTACGTCTAATGTGTTGTAAACTTCTAAAAACTAAATATTTAAAATTAGTCAGATTCCAACTAGATACATGGGTTTTAACTACTTAAAAGTTAAAGGCATTTAATGTATACTTGATAAATCTATTATAAACATTAAAATCTAGTACAAATGTTGAACTTGATGAATTTTGTATCATTATTTAATGATTCCAACTTTATTATAACATTTAATACAAATCGCATTCCTGTGGTACACGCAATTACGGTAGTAATCGAAATTCCGTGTAACTTGTACATTTGTCCGGGCTTAATGAGAGGTTTATAGTTCTAGTTCTTCCTTCTTTGTAATCCTGATTAACGTCGAACAAGTTACTAATTGATTATTGGTCACGCATATTGAGGGAAATAAATAATAAAAATGTTTATATGAATGAAAAAGTGTTGGAAAAAAAGAGTTGCTATCCTAAGTAAATGATTTAACATAGTTCAACTAGAAAAATTATTAGGAAACAAAAACACTACAAGTTCAATGACTGCAACATGAATGACCGCAAGAATCGCAGACCGCAATGTTACAACACAAACGCGCGTCACGCGTGACTCCGAAATAACCACTTGCCATCACATTTTGAGAAGTCTCATCCGTAGCCGTGTCGATCCTTTAATAGATACCAAAGAGTAAAAATTATTCTTAAATTTGTTTAAAATTGTTTCAAAAATCATTCTTGAGATGGTAACAAAGATATTATCTTCAATTTATAGCAGCTGGGTAAAATATGAATCATCAATACACTTTTTTTTTTTTTGAAGTTATTCATAACTTTTTTGGGTACAGAAGGGAAAATTTCTCTAAGAACTATTTACGTGATTTTTATGTCTAATAGTTTTATATTTCTCATTTGTCTAATTTATGAAATTCTGTGTTTAAATAGTAACCATTAAGTTTATTACAACATAAACTACACATACCGTAAAGTACAATGTATTGCTTGTACGCCCATTTTTCAATTATGGTTCAAAGAAATATTTCGTTTTAAACTGTATTTATTCTATTTTATTGTCTGTTTTCATGTTAAGTATTCCAGTGATCGGAGCAGACAGTTAAAAACACTTTATTTTAAAATACTCACTAACTGCGGGTAGTCTTTATCGCGTATCAACTGTATATGTATTTACACGCTGTGTAACATGCCTCGAAGATGTTCTTCGGTCTATTCTAAATTTTAAACAAAATAATAGATTAACGCCTTTTGGTTGAATGATTAGCGCATTGTATTATAAAAGAATACGTATGTATAATGAAATTGATGAAATAAATGTAGACAAAAAAAAAAAGACATAATGGTAACCAGGGGGAACATTGGTGTACAACAATAAGTATCTATTTCTTACATTAGGTCAGTAGGCTTCTATTAAATTGAAGTAGCATTTATAGATACAGATTTACAAAGCAATATTTAAAAATAATTGTTACAATTATTCATACGAAGGCATTTAAATTGAATTAGCTAATCAAAAACTTAAGGCAATCTACGAAAAACTTAATTATGTAAATTGATGTTTAAAAATTTCCCCCCACTGAAAGATTAACAACATCTTATCTTAATCATTTTATGATTGATGATATGAATTGATTTTAAAATATGATTAATTTTGATTCATAGGTGATATATATATATTGTAACACAATAGGTAATCCTTTAAATATAATAAATTATTTAATGTAATGTCTTTTATGTAATTGCGCTACGTAGATACTCATTAAATGACATAAAGTGAATATACAATATCATAATATTACAATGTCATTGAAATTAGGTTGGTCAAAATTATATCATCGTTCTAAACATTTTGTTATTAGTTATTGTGCGAGTTGTGGGACGTGGTTCATTGTATAAGTTGTCTGTGTTTCTCAAAGTGTACGTGAATGATGTTTTTGTAAAATTACATATTTTAATCTATAAACCTTTGTCGGTAGGCGGTATGCAAATGTAATGCATTTAGAACAATAGATAGACAAAACAATATTTTCGTTAAACACTTGTTTCAAGTTCAAATTTTTGGTCTCGTGTGAAAACAAATCAACATGTAAGGTCATACGACATGCATAAATCACAACATACTGTAATTAACTAAAATGTGTATGACAGACAACTTTGACCTTATCTTATCTTAAGGTGACTTATCTTAAAGTATTACATAAATAAATATTAAAAAAAAAAAGAAATTTTAGTTTAATAATGAATACATTTTAATAACAATATCAACTTTTTTATAAAAATAATTATAAAATGAGTTTTTAGCGTATATACATATACTTTTTAGTATATTCATTCAATCATAATTTTCCTTAAATACAATTTGCTATGCTTTAGACGTTTGGAACTTATAGTTTCTTTTAAAAAGTATTGTATTTCTCTTAAATTATTGACCTCAGAATTGATATTGAAAAGTGTATTACAACACTTACACATTCATTCAATATTTTATGGTAACAGATATTTCTTAAGAGGGTATATATAACGGTTATATTTATACATCTTAATATATTGTTTTCTATAAAGTGTAGGCATTGTTAATATCTTAACTACGTTGAGTTGATTATTTGTTGATTCCCATTTCTTTTTCAAGGAGATGAAAAACTGTTGACTGACATGATCCGTATAAACATGTAATTTTTCATTAGATATAACTATTGAGAATTCATACAAATATCAAAAGTTAATACATCTTTTGTGTTTTGCTAAATGTGTTTAGAATCTACTTTTTTTTCATTTATTCGACAGTCTCGCTTTTTTTAATTTTCCAAGTTCACAATATCACAAGTTAAATCCAAGAGTCAGTTAAGAATATTTTTATTACATAACTCAAATAAAATTATATCTGATAGTTATATGTCTAAAGAAATCTAAGAATTCTGATTTTTTATTGGAATTTTAACGTTCATTTTTTATTTTTAATTAAAAAAAAAATTTATCTCTCACACGAGCAAAATTTATTTCACGATTATTTGCTTTTTATAGAATAATTGATTGATGTTTCTAATGTATTAAATTAGTACATATTTTCAATTACTTCTATCCTTCATTTTAATGCATTACATCTTATACTTATCGTTTTATTGATTTAATTGAACAACATCAACATGTTTTATAAGCATCTTTAATATATATTAAAGATATAATGAGTAAATATATTTACTCATTGTACTATAAAAAATTGTTAAACAATTACAATTTGTGTGCTTGAAAGGTCAACATTTAATTTTGGTCTTGTCAATAATATGTTAAAAACAATATCATTTATGGTCTTCAGTGATCACCTACTTGAGTCTCGCCCAACCAGGAACTATTTATAATAATGACCCTGAAATATTTATTTGTTACCTTCAAACATTTTTTGAAACAATAGTGATGACGATTAAGTGTTGCTGTAAGGTTTATAGAAATTCAAAAACTGATAAACTTCAAATCATTGTATAAATAATTTTATTATTTCTTGTATTTAGGTACTGTTACAAACAAGTTGGAATTTTTTTATTACTTGTCATATTTAAAGCTTATACTTGTCATGAAAATTAAATAACAAGTCACTTTAAGTACAATTGTCATATTTATGGGAAAAATGTTTTTCTTTGTAAAATAAACATTTGCCAGTGAAGCGTATGAAGATACAATCTAACAAGAAGCAAATAACGGTACTAGCTTCTTGTAGAACAGTACATGACAATATTATTTTAGTATCACATATTATGTTAATAAGAAACGAAAGTCATGATGACTTTATCCCTGTAGAGATTCTTTACTATATTTTCGGCATAGTTTTATTAAAATTGAATTAACGAGTTACGGATACTTCAATATGTATGTGGCAGACCTGAATCATCTGAAAATTAGTACTGCTAGCATTAAACTCGATCATTTGAGTGGTTAAGTACCGTTTGTTCTTTTGGAAAATTCAATTATGATATGATCTCTTTTCAGAGGTATAAATGATTACATCAAAACCGCATCGTATCTATTATTATAATAGTAATACATATATATGGGTCAATAGGTCTTGACGGATTTCGTTGTGAATCATTGTCCAAGTATCCGCCAGCGTTTTATGAATATACACAAGTAAATTATGCGTTGTGGTGGTGCGCGGTGTGAATGTCGATAGGAGTCTTCCCAACATGTGGGTTAAGTTGTTCGCCGACACAATATTAGTGTGTATACCCATGATGTGCTTTGATTAATCATGCAATTAGGATTTAAGTATATCTAATCAACGGTACGACACTCCATCGATCTTTCCACCAGTATAATCACGTGTAAACACAAGGTACCGGTAGTGTTACGCTGGCAGTGTAATACACACACCTTATAAATACCACGAAATATACGAGTTTTATTAATATTTTAGCTTCCGCAATCCCGTTACCCCGTCGGTAACCGTTGTCGTCGCGGATTGTGCGGTCAAGGCCATCGATGATTGGTCGACGCCACTGCAGTTTAATGAAACGTCTTACTTTCAACTCTGACACGTTAGCATGCAGACTATGTTTTAACTCTTCACTATAGGTGTATTGTTTTTAGCTCGAATCGCAAATAATACTGGGCAAACATAAATTGATGATCTCGAGAGGAAAACATAGTTTTCCACTAATGATCTACTGACAACTATTCAAACTTTTCGAGGTTTATAATTTTGATTTCGAGCAACGCAAACGATCTGTGTAATGATTTAACCGTTGTATTGTTAATTCACTTTTCTCTTCTTCTTCTCGGTGCCCCCGAGGTGTAATAAAAACACACCTTAATCCTTATGATTCATGTACAAACTATGATTATATTTCAGATGTTTTTGTAGTCTGTCAAAGAGTACATATCACTTAAACAATGAATTTACATGTATATCTGGTTCGAATATTGAATAGATGTACATATGGATCAAAGTTCCGTTTTTATGAAATAAAATACACAACTCCAACATTACTAATAACCATAACTCTACTGACGATGGTATCGTCGTACAAAATTAACAAAACGACCATAGACGCTCGATGTCTAATTACAGTGTTCAATGCTATTATACATCATCGACTATGAAAACAGTAGGTCAGACGAACGTGTTGTCCATAACAATAATATCAAGCCAATAAAAAGAAGTGCTAATTCACGGTATATATTTCAATGAAAATCAAAAACAATGTAGAAAGTGAGTTTGCTAAAAATTACAAGCTGGAGCGTACTATTTAAACGATTTTAACGTATTTAGATGTAGAAAACATTTTAGCCCTTGTTTAATTAGACTTTTTTCGGTAGGTTAATTATATCGAAAAAACCATTTAGCAAGAAATTATCTAATTTTTTACTTTTAAAAGTAGTCTTGTATTTTTAACAACTGATAATTTAAAAATTCTCAGATCTGTTTATTTTTTAAATTATTATAAAAAAAAAACGGCGTAATCGAATTTCTGTGACACTTTTTATGTTTATTTTAATAGCAAAACTTGTTCTTTAAATAAGATATTTGACACAAAAACTTTAAATCGTTTGACTCATATAAGCAAAGTTATAAATGGATTTTACCCATAAATAATTAAGTCCTAAAAAACTGAATAATTAGATGATTTTTTTTTCATAAATATTGATTCAGGTGGTTTGAGGTTAGATCCATAATGAGTTTCATAATGAATTTTGACAAAACTTATTTTGTTTGTATTTTTTGTTAGAAATTTCTAGCTCAGTTTAATATAGCGTTCTACGTTTAATAAGTATAGGAAGTATTTAATGTCTGTTTCTTCTGCATCGGTTATTGAACTGTGTTATAAATTATAATTTAAACACAAAACTCGTTCTGACTAATATTTGAAAATACCTCAAGTGTACTAAAATAAATAATAAAATTTGTAAGAAAAGAATTTAGACAACAAATTGAATGTTAGATATAATTTAATTATTGTATATCACCAGAAATTTGACTTAATTCCTTATTCGTTGAGTTAAAACATTCTTGAACATAATGAACTAACAACAATAACTATTAAACTTTAAATTAATAATTCTTAATTTATTAATAATAAATCAAAAACTGTTTTACAAATATGTGATTAAAGGTTCAAATATTGAAATTATTTATTATAAAGTAGGGTTGTTAAAAACATGTTAAAAAAAAAATCAGTAAAAATATAAATAAACGATTTAAAACGTTTATAACACTGTTTTAAACAAGCAGTGTTAATACGTTACAACCATTTTATAAAGGTAAACTAGCTCGGCAATTATTAAGTTGTCATATTTTTTGAATTTATCCTTAAAATAACGTTCGACAAATTAGTTTTCGTGTACTATTACCATCTCAGTTCTCATCAAAGTATTTACTTTGTCATTAACTGTAAAAGTCAAATACGTCCGTCACTGAAATGTACATATAATTTTTATTTGATGCTTTGTTTTTAAATGTTTTTTCACGATACAATTAATGCCGTTACACCAACATTCATGAAAATACATTCATTTATTTATTTGTAATAAAATGTGTTTGTGAGGTCATTTTGAAAAAAATTTACGAAATAATTTAAATAGAACACATAACTTTTAATTCCCAATTTTCATTATTTTACAATTCACTCACGATTTGTATTATAAAAAATTTAATCGAAACAAGAATTAAATTTCAAAGTTTGGATTGACAATAGGAGGACATTAATTTTCAGAAAGTTCAATAGCTCCCTTAAACTGAAATTTCATTTGTACAACTATTATATGTAAGCCCTATGGTCACTTAACTTTAAAACATCCTCTAAACATTTTATTCTATGTCTATGACCATGACCCCTTTGTAAAATACCACAAAATATAAATAGTTATAACTAAGACCCAGATTTAAATTTATTTATAAATTTTGTTATGTTATTTTAAACACACCATCAGTCATTACAATATTTTATTGATTGATTTGAAAACTTAGTAATGTGTTGTTATTGGGGTTATAGTTTTGAAGGAGATTAGAAAGATTATCTTTCTTCATATGAAAAATATTTCTAAGCTATTATATATTCCTATAGTAGCCCTAACTTGAAAAATTGTTTGTTGATTACATTTATTTTCAAATAGCAGGGTTTGTAAAGTTTAAAAATCTATACATTTTTTAATTATTTATTAAGTTATTTTGACATCACACAATTCTTTCTTGTTTTATAGTAGTTAGACATCCGTTCTAGTTCAACCCTGAATTTTAATTACTACAGACTGTGTAATCAACAAAATCGTATGTTATTCCATAATTAAAATTTTATTTTACTTTAAATTGTTATCCTTTTTTGGATTATTATCTAATTTAATTATCCAGTAGTAAAGATTGACTTTTATTTATTTGTATATACATATAATCATATTTAGTAAAAATTATTTGTTTTAATTTATTTGATAATTCTTTATAAATATTTCTTTTTTTTTTTACAGCTATTACGGATAACATTTTATTTACTTGCCTTTTGCGAATACACTATAGCTGAAGAGTGTGGTGCTAACGGCCAGCAACTTAAATATTTATGGGGTGATGCTTTTACCGATTCGTTGGACTGTATAGGTCCCAACGGTAAACCTTATCCAGAGTAAGTACTATCTTTTTTTTTTCGAACAACCATTAGATTAGGCATGGTGTAGCCATTCTGGTAAAATAATAATGTAAATAATTGAGAATTAAGGATGACGGCCTACTTAAAGAAAAACGATCGGTTCATATCAATCACTGACCGTGATTTATTAAGTGACAACATTAAGTTGACAACCGTTTTACACTCATATTTTATTATAATTTTTCAGATCGGTAGTTGCAGGAACTTTTAGGAGAACCAGCAGCTGGAGTTCCTCAAGGACAGGAAGAGATGCTTTCCACTCATATCATAAGCCCAGTCCAGAAACAGTCCGAGAAACTTTATTGAAAAACTATAAATCTAATAATCACCAAGAAGATATAACTATAAGTAGGACAGGTATGTTTCATTTATTTTTCTTATTTATTTTATTTCTTATTATACAGTAACATTATTATATGACCTATTTTCTATTTTTAGCTTCGATGCGAAGCTGAGAAGGTATTGGTTTTACTATGATGTGTTTTTTTTTTTTTTTTTTTTTTTTTTTTTTTTT